AGGCAAAACCAAGAAATAGAGAAGAACTGTGGAATGTAGTCCAATCATCCTGGGCTGGAATACCTGTTCACAGGTGCCAGAAGTTGGTTGACTCCATGCAACACAGATGTACAGCAGTTCTCAGAAACAGTGCTTATACAACTAAATATTAATTAAGTGATTCAAAGGAAAGCAAAATCTTCAAACATTTTTCAGTTTATATAGTGAATGTTTGAGTTTGTAAAGAAGAATACAAACACTGCTATTTTTTTGAACAGTCTAACATTCACTTTTCTTCAATTTTTTTTTAGAGGAACAACACAAATTTGATATATTTTTCTTCATGTTTTGATTTGGAATAGAATGTGTAGTGTTCCCAATGCATTTGTGTGTATGGAAATAAAAGTTATTAGAAAGATTTTGAGCTTTATTCACTTTTTTCAACACACTGCTATTATTTTGAACACAACTGTATATTCTAATGGGGGGCATACCACACACTTTTTCTGGCAGAGATTTCTTCTCTTTTTTTCATTCAGCCTACAGGCTGCATAAAAAAAAAAAAACATAACATATATGCCCAACAAGGACCAGCGATGTACTAGTACAGGGGTGGGAAAACTTTTTGACTTGAGGGCCGCAATGTGTTCATATATTGGACCCGGGGGCCGGACCAAGAGTAGATGAATGATGTGTATGTGTCATCCTTAGTAAGTATAGTAATATTCCCCCATAGTAAGCATAGTAATTAATCCCCCATATAGTAATTCATCCCCCATATAGTAATTCATCCCCATAGTAATTCATCCCCCATAGTAATTCATACCCATAGTAATTCATACCCCATATAGTAATTCATCCCCTATATAGTAATTCATCCCCCATATAGTAATTCATCCCCCATAGTAATTCATCCCCCATATAGTAATTCATCCCCCATAGTAATTCATCCCCCATATAGTAATTCATCCCCCATAGTAATTCATCCCCCATATAGTAATTCATCCCCCATATAGTAATTCATTCCCCATATTAAGTCCCCCCTGTGTCAATTCACTTACCTTTGCTCCGCGCGTTCCTCTCGCCGTGTTCCCGCGCCGTTCCGGTGTAGCATGAAAATCTGTCTCCTATGAGGATCTGTCCCCCTCGACGTATCTGCACATGTGCCAGTTTCAGGCATTAGCAGCCGATCGGCGATCTCCGGCACATGCGCAGATACGTCGAGGGGGACAGATCCTCATAGGAGACAGATTTTCATGCTACAGCGGTCTTCAGGGCGGACTGTGAGAGGAGCCTAGCGGGAGCCGGATTAAAAGGTCCGCCGGGCCGTATACGGCCCGCGGGCCGTAGTTTGCCCATTGCTGTACTAGTACATCACTGAACTTTGAGTGGTTATACCAGGATGATGCCTTTCATATAAAAGCAATACTGGCGGCTAATTGCTTTTACAAACAGCCCTTAAGTGCCTTCCACGGCTTTCTTTCTCGAGCAGTCCTGTCCCATTGGGGAACCTGAGAATGTAGCCGGTGTTTCCACCACCTGACCAAAGAGCGGATTGGAGACCAGAATAGCTCCAATCATCTCTATAGCCTAAGAAACCGGAAGATACGAGCATTTCATCACTTCAATTTTACCGGATATAAACAGCGCCGTTTTTAAATTGAGAAAGCATCTGATCACACCTATCTTGGTGAGCTCAGAAGATCTAAGAGCAGAGGAGATAGCTAGAGTCTAATAGACCACAGATTTCTCAGAGAAGAATACCTGTCACTGCCTGTTACTATCACAGGGGAAATTTACATTCCCTGTGATAACAATAAAAGGGACAGTGTGCACAACGTCGTACACACAAGCGTCAGCCCCATGACCGTATGTAAACAGCAGTTGCACCACGCATGTGAATTATCGCTGTGAATGTCAGATTGAGGGCAGTAATTCTAGCACTAGACTTCCTGTGTAAATCTAAAGTGTTAGCCTGTAAACGCTTTCAAAGCGTTGCCTATGGATATTAAACCCTTGGCACTGGCTCTTCCTGGCCCTTTAAGGGTTTCAGAAGCCGGAAGGCGGGGCTTTAGGGTCATGTGACTCCGTGATTCGCTGTCACGGTGGTCACATGATCGGGAAAGGTCCCGATCGAAAGAGGAGATCAGGACCTTTCCGTGAGTACCGGACATGTGTGCAGAGAGCACGCAGGGTGCGCGCTTTCAGAACATATGTTTTTCTTAATTGCACGTAAATGTGCGGCCGCTCGGTGTCAAGGCCCAGACGCCGGGAGGCCGCACATTTGCGTGCAGCTGGTGCGCAGAGGTTAAAAATTTATGTAGTTTGTCGCCGTTGCACGGGATGTGCACAGTTTTAAAGCATATCATTTTTGGTATCTATTTACTCAGCATAACATCATCTTTTATGTTTTACCAAACAATTGGCCAAAATATTGTGTTTTTGTGCATTAAAATTTAAAAAAACAAAATATACACGGCATGTGTGAACCATTTCACCACTTGTCTACCAGGCACTTTCGCCACCTTCCTGCCCAGGCCAATTTTCAGCTTTCAGCACTGTCACACTTTGAATGAGAATTGCGCGGTCATGCAACAATGTACTCATATGAAAATTTTAGCATATTTTTCAGACAGATAGAGATTTCTTTTCGTGGTATTTAATCACCTCCTTTTCTTAGTTTCTGTTATAAACATTTGTAAATAAGTAATTTTAGTTCTTCACCGATGTGCGCTAATGAGGCTGCAGTGATGGGCACTGATGAGGAGGCATTGGTAGGTGGCACGGATAGGCATTGACAGGCATCACTGATGGGCACTGAAAGGCAGCACTGATATATGGCACTGAAAGGCAGCACTGAAATATGGCACTGATAGGCAGCACAGACTGGCACTGATAGGCGCCACTGATAGGTGGCACTGAAAGGCAACTCAGATGGGCACCGATATGTGGCATTGATGTGCACTGGTAGGCACTGATATGTGGCATTGATGAGGCACTGATGGGCACTGGCAGGTGACATTGATGGGCACTGACAGGTGGCACTGGTGGGGCTACACTGATCATATGGGCACTGATCAGTGTACATGTTCCCTCTGAAGAATGCCGATTATCGGCTCTCCTCTCCGCACGAGCTGTCAGCGTGACAGCTTGTGAGGAGAGGAATGCCGATAACCGACATTTCCTTATTTAAATGCAATCAGTGGTGATTGGACACAGCTGACCACATGACAGCTGACGTCATCATCTCTTTCCGCTGATCAGTGGTCCGCTGTGTCCCAGGGACACAGTGCAGCACCGATCGCAGCGCTGCACGCCACGTCATATGATGTCCTCCCAGAACGAGTGAACCACTGTCCTCCCGTCATTACCCTTATATGGCAGGCGGGAGGCGGTTAAATGACAACTTTGTGTAAAAAAGAAAAAAAAAATTTTTGCAACTTTCCAAAAACTTGTGAAAAAACAAAATCCTCCATGGACTCAACATGCCTCTCAGCAAATAGCTTAGGGTGTCTACTTTCTGAAAAGGGGTCATTTAGGAAGGGGGGGGGGTTGTGGGGGATGTACTGCCCTGGCATTTTAGCACCAGAAGAAATGTGATAGGCAGTCAGAAAGTAAGACCTGCGTAAATTACAGTATCTATACCATAGTTTGTAGACGCTATAACTTTCACACAAACCAATTAATATACATGTATTGGGATTTTTTTTTACCAAAGATAATTTTTTATAACAGAAATAAGAAAATATCAGGATTTTTTTTTTTTTTTTCACAATTTTCTGTCTTTTTTTGTTTATAGCGCAAAAAATAAAAAACCCAGGAGGTGATCAAATACCACCAAAAGAAAGCTCTATTTGTGGGGAAAAAATTACAAATTTCATTTATGTACAGCATTGAATGACCGCGCAATTGTCAGTTAAATTAGCGCAGTGCCGTATAGCAAAATATGACCTAATTCCAATATCTATACCACAGCTCAAGACGCTATATCCTTCACATAAACCAATTAATATATACTTACTGGGATTTTTTTTTTATTTTATAACAAAGACATGTAGCAAAATACATTTTAGCATAAGTGTATGAAGAAATGTGAGTTTATTGAATATTTTTTTTTATAATAAATTATAAAATATATATATTTTTTTAATTTTTCAGTCTCTTTTTTGTTCATATCGCAAAAAAAAAAAAAAATAAAAAACCCAGAGGTGATCAAAATACCACCAAAAGAAAGCTCTAGTTATGTTAAAATGAAAAAAAAAAAAAAAAAAAAAGGACATATATTTTGTTTGGGTAAAGCATTGCATGACCACGTAAATATAAGCTGAAATAGCACAGCACCGAATAGCAGAAAATGGCCTGGTCAGGAAGGGGGCTAAATCCTCCGCAGGGCAAACGGTTAACACGCATGCAAAAATGTAAAGATTGCCCAAGGCAAGTAGTTAGAGCTGAACTTCAAGCAAACAGTTAAATACACAGCTGAAACACAAATATAGAAACAGTCCTAGAGCCTATATACAACTGCTTCCTCTCCCTCAATATAATATAATGAGAATGTTACAGCAGCATGTTGCAGCTTTAAAGTGATTCAACTGCATGCTACCCATTAAGACAATCAGAAGGATTTCAGAAGTAATATCGAGTGGAAGAAGAATGCACCTGAAAGCACAATCATTCACACCCTGCGAGCACAATTAGTTCTGGAGCTATACTGCAGAAGCACAGCTTGGTCAAGAACACATACCACCCTGTTGTTGGACAATGAAGGTGCAGAAACACACTGATGAGCCATCTCACTGTTCGTTATACTCTCCTCCTATCAGCATTTTCCCTTGTTGCCACACTTGCAGTGCACCAGTTGGACTGACTCAGAATCCTGAAATCTCAGTCCTGCTGTGCAATAGTTTGTGAATTTAATGTGAGAATTAATTTAATCCTTTTTAATACATACTGTATTTTATATATTTGAATGGAGGCAATTTTTATCAAACGTATGGAGGAAAATGGAATGAGGAACTTACCATTCTCTGTATTGTGAATTCATAAATCTTCTTTCCAGCATTTGCACGGAAAAACTTTCTGTACTCTCTACGTACCTAAATATATAGAGGTAAAATTGAATTAATGGAATTATTTTGATGTAAACAGATATGACGACAGCCAAAAGCCAAGTTTAACTGGAAATAGACAAAAGAACTAAGAAGCACAACTAGGCTTGCTGTAATTTATAATGTGATTGTGGGGTGTAGCAATGAGAGAGTTGATTCATAAATATGTTGAATCAGTGAATTGCAAAGGTCCCGCTTCACCCAAATATTTATAGGTAGATTCATAAGAGCATTGTACTGTGTTAGCCATCGATTAATGCAGAAAGTTTGGAGTTCATTTGCCAACTTGACTTATTAAAGATGCAACTTTTCTACATAACATATCTCTGTATAAGGCTACTTTCACACTGATGGTCCGATCGGGTCTGTCTGTCAGTTTTTCAGGTGGACCTGATCGGACCATCCACTGACCTCTATGGAACAGCGAGTGTCAGTGGACAAGTGTCCACTGACACTGCTGGCATCCGATCCAATCCAATACGTCAAAAACAGACAGATAGGGATCCATTCTTCATCTCATCTGTCTGGTGGATCGGATCGGTTGGCAGTCAGATGGAAACAGACAGGAGGTCCGTACCCCCAATAGAAGTTAGCGGCAGTGTCTGTGTATGCTCTGCAGCAGAGCTGATGGGTCCGCCCTGCGGCAGCGCTGATGGGTCCGCCCTGTCTGAAAGGGGCCTTAAGCCTGAAGAAGGGATTCAAGTAATCCAGTAAGCTTGCATATTCAACAATTTAACCAATAAAAGGTATAACGTAAACTCCAAAGTTACTGCATGTAGATATATCAAAATTACATACAATTGTACAATTCCTGCATCTCCACACATCAGACAAATCCGCATACAAATATACAGGCAGATCAAAAATAAGTATAACAGTGATCCTCCTGATTCGGTCACCACTAATGGAGAGACAGGTGACGTTAAAACAAAGCCATGGATATCATTAAACAGAATGTAAAATGTAATAACTGAAAACACAATACCATATTTAGTGTTTACCAATAAGGCTTAAAATTAAATGTGTGTGGATTTGTAGCATCAATAAAAATTAACATACTCTTTTTAGACTAGTTGAAGTCTTTTAGTCTAACAAATTTGTGATTGAAGTCTTCTAGCCTACCAAACTTAAAAGAAAATGCTCAGAGATTGGAAAAGACGGACAGTATAGTCTAGGTCCTGGGATAAGCATTCCGTTTCTTCAAGTCCAATTGCTGTGAGCTTGCTAAATTTGTATTCCAAAGTTGCTTTTTTTTTTATATAATGTGTTGAAATAATATACAACCCTTTTTAAACTAATGGCATACAGGGATTGAGGCTGTAATCAAACTCACACCAGGTGTAAAGGAGAAGTTTGGGATTGGAAAAAAGAAACATTTATACTCACGTAAATGGCTGCAGCATTGACCTGATGCTTCAGCTATCCCATACCGAGAACCAAGCATCACATGACTGACAATTGCTTAGTTCACGACCTTCATTGAGCAGAGAGTGTCAACTGCCAAACACCAGCTCTCTGCTCTGCCCCTCCAGCGCTCAGTGGAGCGTAGGGCTGTGGAGGGAGCATGAGCGGTTGGCTCTAGCTCCCAGTGGCATGCCGAGAGGCTGCGCCAGCTACCACTTATGCATCTGGGTGGATCACTACATTATTTTTAGGATCCCTGCAGAGTGTGGAGCGACTTCATGACATCAGCCAACTGAATCTGGGGCACAGCAGTACAGAAAAAGTGAACTCCTGTGACCCAGAGGAGAAGCATGGTCATACTTCTCTATTAAATGTCATCATCAAATCAAAATTAATTCATGAGCAGATTTTTTTTTTTTTATCAACATTAGTTCAGGGTCCAATTTGTCTAGCCGTTACAAAGTTAACAGAAGCATTTTTAAGTATGGTACAATTTTAGGTATGTTAACAACAATGCAAGGGGTAACAAGTTGAAACATTTTGCTGTAGAAAAACAAAAATACTGTAGATACCAAAATGCAGGTTATGTAGAAAGTTTAGTGGCAAAGCACACATTTAAGTAAGGATCACTGCTAAAACAGCTCTGATGTTTAGTATATGTGGCAATTTTTGCTTAAGTACACACATGTGAAACAAGATCATAATACTGGAAAGCAAACTTAAAAAAGAAGAACGGACTTAAATACTTTTACTATACTATACTTTTGATTACAGTATATACAAACAGATTGCTATGCCAGACTTTGCAGGTTACCAGCAATAGGAGTAGACAATTCTGCTAATCTCTAAACTTGTTAAAGAGAGAAATGGAATTGTTTTGCCACAGAAGCTGGCAAACGTTTTGAAAAAAAAAAAAAAAATGCAAAAGTTGTGAATAAAATATGAATCAATAACTGTATTGCTCCAAAACTTTATAAAAACTTTATAAAAAATATGAATTACAATATGAACGGTGCACACTTTTTAGACTGACCGAAATGACTAACAGAAAAGGCAGAAACCAGTTAAAAGACAGAAAAGAAAAAAAAATCAGCTAAGACCATGGTTAGCAATGATTTCAATGTGATAGAAACAGTACCTTTAGTCCAAGCCAGAAAGCCCAAATGACTGCAACTGCATGCTTACGCCTAGCCTCCTCCTTCAAGCGTTTTAATTCCCTTCGAGCCTAAAATGTTTAGATATTGAATGGAAACATAGCCAGAGGCAAGAAGGCAAGAAGCAAAATCACTAGAAGAGAATGTCTCCAAACAAAGTTTCAGACAAATGCTGGAGAAAACTTTCATTACAAAACCCTTGTATGTTGGTTTAGGACCAACATTCATCAAAAACCTATTGCACCATTGACACAAAGTACCAAGAAGCAAAAAGGCATGAAGGCTAAATTAAATTATGGAAACATACTGTGATATCCATTATTTCTGAAAATATTGTATTAAAATATAGTAGCATAGCTTGATCTATAAGGATAAATCACATTTATTCTTGTTTCCCTGTAAAACATAATAAAATGTCATTCTTTGTGCTCCATTTATATTAGCTGCACCTGATTTCCCACACATCATGCCTCTAATAGTCAGCAACACACATTTGTGTTAGAGACCTTTGCCTTTCCTGGCATTGCCATCCTGTGGGGTTCTCATTTTTGCTGCCTGTCCACAGACTGCATTGTATTAGATGATTAGTGCACTGTATAGTTAGACTTTGCCAACTCTGGGTAACCTAGAACTGAACTCTTAGGCAAGTAGGGTGGCAGTTCTGCTCTAGGCAATGATTCTAAATGCATTAGAATGGGATGGGTGAGCTGTCTCTTTTGACCTCTCTGCCCTCAGCATGTCCCTACAACCTTTGATCTTGATTATGTGATACTAAAGCTATCCAGTTTAGTAGAAGAGAACTTGATTTATTGACAATATTGAAAGAAAACAATATAAGTCCATAAAACAACTGAGCAAATATGTCAAAATTGTGCCTCAGTTGGTGGGGGAAGGATGGAGGGTATGGAGATGCATCAATTTCCTGTATCCAATTGTCATATTAACAACATTAGTTATAACTGTTGCATTTCTTTTTTTCAATTCACCACCCACACTGTAAGGTTATGATGATTTTTTTTATTTTTTTGCACACTAAAAACAAGCCTAAATTCATCATAAGGGAGATCTGCACATTCCTCTCTGTGCATCTTGGTTTCCTCTCTATACATCTTCTGTTCTGTATGACCCCAAAAGGGTACGTCATATTAAAGGTCTGCCATATTTTTTTTTTGTTTAAATGCATGCAGTTTTAATTCCATGTTTACTAGTTTTGCATAACTCCCATTAAACCCCCCACTAATCCTCTTCATTTCTTTTCCTTGTTATTCTAGGTTGCCAGATTTTTCTATTCACCACCCCCCCCCCCCCCCCCAGATTGTAGTTTAAAATCATAACCAATATTCTAACCAGCCTTTTCCCAGCACAGCTATACACCCTGATAAGATGCAGTTGTTCCTTCTGGTGGAGTCTGAATACCAGAAAATGTAGCCCAGTTCTTCCCAAACCCGCTATCCAGCAAAAAACATTCATTTAGCCACTTACAACGTCCTAAATATCTCCTGTCTACCTGGTGCAGCACGCACCTCTGGTAGAATTTCTGTAAATATAACCTTGAGTTCCTCCAGACCCTATATTTATCTGCCAACATCTTAATAGAATTTAGAGCGTCATCTGTATTCCCTAAATGATGGAACTTAGTCCTTCCATACCACAATTTAATTCCACCTATTTAACTAAGAGAATTGATCTGATAGATGTTGGAAGGATGGATGAAACAAGCATTTACAAAGCTTCGACCCAGCCAAAAGGGGTATTTCAGTAAAATATCTAATATCTCAGTTCTGTAGTAAACAAAAAGCACAACACAGCTCCTAGAATTTCAATTGTAAAGACCTGTAATTTTATACACTGAAAAGATACCCAAGTTTATTGAAAAAGATGGGGCGCAATGTTCAAAGCCTCACCCCACTCCTAACAATCAATCAACGATCATCTTTTATTTTTAACTGCTCTCAGTGGAACTCTGATGGTTGTGCTAAATTATATGGCCCTTTGTATATTGTATTAAATATAGTAGCATAGCTTGATCTATAAGGATAAATCACACTTATTCTTGTTTCCCTGTAAAACATAATAAAATGTCATTCTTTGTGCTCCATTTATATTAGCTGCACCTGATTTCCAACACATCATGCCTCTAATAGTCAGCAACACACATTTGTGTTGGAGACCTTTGCCTTTCCTGGCATTGCCATCCTGTGGGGTTCTCATTTTTGCTGCCTGTCCACAGACTGTGCATTGTATTAGATGATTAGTGCACTGTATAGCTAAACCTTGCCAACACTGGGTACCCTAGAACTGAACTCTTAGGCAAGTAGGGTGGCAGTTCTGCCCTAGGCAATGATTCTAAATGCATTAGAGTGGGATGGGTGAGCCTCTCTGCCCTCAATCAACGATCATCTTTTATTTTTAACTTCTCTCAGTGGAACTCTGATGGTTGTTCTAAATTATATGGAACTTTGTATATTGTATTAAATATAGTTTGCATATCATAACTGATTCTCACACTTTTTTAATTAAATAAACCAAAGTAAGCATAGATGCTGAAAACTATGCAAGCACAAGCTACAAATCTTTAAAATATTTATATCATGACCTCATCTAATTTCTTTGTACTTAGTAAATGGTGCAAGTTATTATGATCTAGAACATAAGCCAAGACTCATTCATGATGTGTTTTGTGTTCCCACAATCTGTACTATGCATACTAGTGTACAAAGCATGCAGTCACCAGAAAACTATGAATGGTTCTGGGTGCACTCACCATGCAGAAAACACCACTACATGAAGCCTACTTACCTTCAGAAATATATTACCACTCCTGGTAAAGTGTAAGAAAATGTCTGATGTCATCACATACTAAAGCTTTTCTTGTGTAATAATATGCACAATAGATTTAAAATTAAAGATTATTAATTCCCCACTTCTTATATAACAATTAAAAAACAATTCCAGCAAAAAACAAAAACAAAACAAAAAAAAAAAAACAAAAAAAAAAAATTAACTGCTAGAATCTTTAAGATCTGCATTTCTACCTAGGGCCCCAGTGAGGATTATCAACCCTCACTCCCCAGTTCCTAATGGTGACCACTGTCTCTGGCACAGGATGAGAGGAAAAATTTCCTCAATTTGAACACCGCAATTAGAAAATAAATGGCAATGGTTCCAACTCTTACACATTCTGCTTAAGGCACCGTTCACATACAGATGATTTAGAATCGTGCGTAGAATTGCTGCCATTCTGCCCATGATTCCAAATTGTGCCAAAACTAGTGATGTTTATTTGGGTTCCACTCTTCCTGAATGGCACCCCAAATCTGGTGTGCTTTTGACATTCCACAAAATGCATAAGAATCGCAGCAAAACACGCATGTATAATCATGCCTGGCTCAGAACCAAAATTTGGTCCCTGGGCTTCTTTGGCGCACCGAACGTGCATAGGGCAGCCGAAAAAAAACTGCCCTAGGCGTGACACGTGTTTCCACATGTGAATCGCACTCTTAAAATTGCTAGTGGAAACCCATGTTCCCACTAAGTTATATGTGAACCGGCTTAAAGCATTTTACTGGTGTCTGTGTCCTAGTTGGAATGGAATACCCTTGTGTTTTGTATGGAAGACAAGGTGTCACCAAGACAGGAAGTGAAGTAAAAACTCCCCTTCTAGAACACAGAGTAAAAAGAGCCTCACATAAAATATAATCCTTTCTCAATCTTTCCAAAACAAAGCAAAAAAAAACAAATCTCAGATAAAAACAATGCAAATGTTTTTTTGTCAATGATAGCACCATTAAGTGCATTCTTCAAAATGATACATGCATTTTGATTTTGTTTCTATAAAACTAGAAATAGGTTGTCTGTTATTTTCATTAAATGACAAACTAGCAGAAGCATGCAGCACCGATGCAGGACACAAATCAAGCTCTTGCTTTTTTATTAAAAATTGTTAAAAGAACTAGCATGCACTACCCTACATTACAGATGCTGTTAGCGATTATAAGCATTAGGTAGTGATTGTGAAGGTGGTTTTGGACGCGCATGCGTGTAATACCTTAAGTCCAAGCCAGTAAGCCCTTATAACATCAACAGCCTGTTTATTCCTAGCCTCTTCCTTCAGTCGTCTCAGTTCCCTTCGCGCCTGTGGTGCATTTGAAATTGAGGTTTAAAAAGCAGAAACTTTGAGAGGACCCAGCTGAATGTGACCCAGGAAAACAAGTAGTGAAGTGACTGGTGGGGAAGTAGAACAAGTAGTGAAGTGACTGGTGGGGAAGTAGAACTTGTTACAGCTGGTGTTTTGTGATAGCGATCATCTGGCTATATCATAAATAAGCAAGTACAATCTTTTACAACACAGTGTGGCCTAGATGCCATATTCCACAGCTGCAAAGAAATGTTGGGATGAGCCTTACTTGTGTTCCATGCCAATATGCTGCAATTGTAGTAGCTGCTTCATTGCAGAGCTTCTGATATTTAAGTTCTCGAAGTATCTTTCTTGCCTTTGAACATAAAAAAGTATAGCACTATTCAGACAAATTATTTAGGTGTGAAAATAATAATTATAATAATATAAATGAACACCCACACAGTAAGAGAAATGCGTACAGGATTTGTTGTTGTTCACCATTGAAAGTTATCTGAAGAAATCAATGTTCCTTTTATATACTGCAAGAAGCCAGATTCTCTTTTATTCTACCATACTATAGACAGACAATGTAAGATTTTTAGGAGATGCTAAGGGTTGAACAACTTCATATGACTTTTGCAATGCCATAACATTTATAAATATTACTTCTATATTTTAATTTAAACTCTGAAATCTGTGACAAAACTTCATCAGAAATGAGCTCACCTATTTTAAGAGCAATTTTTTTTTTTAAATTAAGTAACAAACACTTCATGCATGTCTTCTCGGAATGCATGAAGTTAAAAAATCTTGAGCCTTTACAACCACTTTAACTGTTGAATTTTTGTCATAAATGACTGGGTCAAAATGTTTCAAGGGCATTGACCCACTGTATTCATGGAATTCAAGTTTGGTTCGAAAGAGCATTTTATTTATATTATTTTTGTCTTTTTGGCCATATTCCTAACTATAAAGATCCAGCGTACATATCTCTGTTTAAAAGAATGAATAATCACTATTGTCCTTACAATACATTAAAGCAGAATTTTAGCAAAGCATGCAGTCAATACAGCTTTCCCCTAGCCACTGATCAAAGATTAATCTTTTTTTCTTTATGCTTTTCTTACTTAAAGTCACCTACAAATCTGTGGTCATTTGACCTACTTAGAGGTCTTTTGCTCCCTAAGGCTCTTTGGTGGACATAAAAGAAAGACACCCCTTCACCGTACTGCCGTGACATATTCTACTGCTGTATTTGCGTATATTCTTTACAAATAAGCCCCTTATAAAGCCAAAGTCCACTGGTGTACCTTCCATCCTCTGGTATAGGACTGCATCACAATGGTAGAACTTTTAATTCTCTTGTACTTGTTCTGTTGCTGTGTTGAGAAAAAGATAATGATACATCAGAAAATGATAAGCAGCACAAAACAATGATTTCATTAGGAGTTCCAACTGAACGATCAGATTTAACGACCATGGTAGAGAAAACACGATCTTCAACAACAGAGCATTTCCGAAAAGAGATCGTACAGTCTTCCCAAAACAGTTTTTTTCAACTGTTAATGAATTAGCAAATTTGCCAATTGTTTGAATAGCTAATTCTGAATGGTGTATTTTATCTAAAGAGACCCTGACAACACTTAGTAAGACTTTCAGGGGGGGGCACTAACAGCAAAAAAAACTGAACATAGGATTCTAATCCCTTACAACTCTTTCCAAAACACACAAAAGAAAAGGATTGACTAGAGATAAACTCAAGATCAAACATAGCCTATATTGATTATGAAACCTTTCCCTGTCAAAATTTGTCAAAACAGTTTTCAGCCAAGAATTTTTGGAAATACAGCCAAGGACAGCAGCAGAAACTAAACAATAGGAAACTGGTACAGTAATTCTAATAAAGTAAATTCTGATAAATAATGCTTTATGAGCAAAAGTCACATTTTAAAATCAAGCTCAACTAAAAATAATTCAAAACAAACCATAAATGTAGAACCTCTACTTTCTTTGAAATAGAAATTTGCAGCTTATGAAGAAGACTAATTCCAGAGGTAGGTTACATTGAAAAAGAAAACATTAACTTACAAGATAACGTCTGACCCATGCTGCCACCACTATCTGACTCTTCTTCATCAGAAGAAACTGTGTGCGACACTTCCATCCTCTATAGATTTTCTGGATAAGTGTTGCCAGGTCTTGTAGTCTTTCTTTTCTCAACTCCTCTAACTTAAACAACTGTAAAATATGAAATTAGACCTTGATGTATATTTAATGACGTTTTAAGAACAGCAACTTGCACTAAAAGAATTTTGTTCAACAATTTTTATTTTTGGAGCATTTGATTTTCTAGTAAGTGGAATCAAATCAATAATTACTTTTTTACTGTAGTGATGAGAAAAGGAACCAGGTGAAAATCTTTATTGAATGAATTCTAACTGTGAATGTGGTTTTGTTAAGAAGAATAGTACATATTGTCATGTGCATGTTCTAGGCACAACAAAACCTGTTTAACATGTCTGGAATTCCATTCAAGTAGCAGGTCTGGATGATATTTTCACTTAAAAAATGTATTGGAAGCAATACACCATAAAAATGACCATAAAACACCATTTCATAAGCATCAACAGATACACCGGAATACAAGAATGAAAATCAACAAAATGCAATATCCGTTGAATCAGTAATTATAATCAAACAGTGGCAGAAAACTTTAATGCTGATCAGATTTGCCAACAGAGATCAGGAGGTGTGTCCTGAAGTACCCCCAAATAACCTAAAGGAGGTGTCTTATTAGGTCTTAAGCACACTGCTGCTCCTAATATGAAATTTGTGAGGCGTTTGGCATTTTTTGCCTAAGCTTGTCCATGCACACATAGGCTTCTAGAGGAGTTTAGGAGCAGCAGAGTTTAGAGGCAGTTAAAGCTCCTTCTCCTGAACACAGAATTGCATTCAGGAGAGGAGCTTTTGGGGAAAAAAATTCCTATTGCCACTAAATGCACCTAAGTGCTAGTCACTTCAGCGTTTATTCATTTCAATGGTCAGAACAAATTAAAATTCTGACCAATTAAATAAACGCCCAACACTACCAAACTCTGTTAAACTCGCATAAACTTGTTTTAAAAAAATGCAGCTTAGGTACAATTTTAACGCAGATTTTATACTGTCAGGAGAAACAACAATTACAATAAACCAGCGTGCATAAGGCCTAAGTTAATCATGGCTTCCACTTGACCTGAGGTTTTGGGAAAGAGCCATGAATGAGGTGATAAGACATATTCCATTACCAGTAGTTATTAGTTTACAGTATGCCAGTGTGATCACTGAAGAAGGAAGGTATATGAGTAAGTGGGCTAATGAGAGGTCCAGTGTTACATTAGTCAGTTGGTAGACTAACCCTGCCGCAAATCATCTGATATGAGCAAATCCAAAAAAATACATTTCAGGGTACTGGGCTCTATAATGCCTTTTCCATCAAACCCACGACACATGAAGTCTATGAGGAATAAAGTACCACAGAATCAACAATTTGAAGGCAATCACATGAACCGTTAGGGTGCATGAGCTAAAAATCAATTACCAATGTTGGGACTAAGATACAGTATGGATGTAATTTTAAGGGCTTTAAAATAAAATCAGTTGAGTCAATGATGGTGAGTCATCATTGGTGTCAGAGCGAGGAATCGTGCCCCATCATTGGTGTCAGTGGGAGGAATAGCACCCCATCATTGTAATACCATACTGAAATACCATACCATATTGAAATCAAATCTGATGTTTTTTCATTTTTATTTGGTGTGCGTTGGAAGAGGGGTAGTCTTATACGGCGAGTATAGCCCAAACCCCTATATTTTAACAGGAAAAGTAGGGGGTCGTCTTATATACACCCAGTCGTCTTATACGCCATAAAATACGGTATATATGGACCCAACTGTATTTGAAAGGATTTGTTTCATCTCTGTGTATTACATGAGGCCGGTCACTTTACTGGACGTATGTAAGGGTTTACAACCACTAAGCCATTCAGAATTACCTGATTCTTGAGAATTGATTTGAATGTAAGACCAAAGACTAATACATTTTTTTAGATTCTTCTTTTAGTAAAACTAGGTTATAAACTTTGCTGCCTTCACACTGAAGAACAGAAAGGCCCCTAGTTTTAGACCAAGAAGCATTTGTGTGTCTGTGGTATGTTCAAGATGTTGCAAACTCTACATACATACCCAGTGAAGTGACTAGCCTCAGGTGATACACAAGGTTAAACAAATCCTCGTACACACGTTGTACCTGTTTATCTGCAGACCTCTCTTCTCTAACAGCCCTTCAAAGTGCAGAATTTATACAGCTTGTCTGAGATTTTAGAAAGCAGGGGGAGGGGAGCTGAAGTTACATTCGGCAGAGTTTAGTCGGGGGGGGGGGGGGGGGCGGAAGGGGATAGTATATACAGTTGTGTTCAAAATAATAGCAGTGTGTTGAAAAAAGTGAATAAAGCTCAAAATCCTTCTAATAGCTTTTATTTCCATACACACAAATGCATTGGGAACACTACACATTCTATTCCAAATCAAAACATGAAGAAAAATGTATCAAATTTGTGTTGTTCCTCTAAAAAAAAAAATTGAAGAAAAGTGAATATTAGACTGTTCAAAAAAATAGTAATGTTTTGTACTCTTCTTTACAAACTCAAACATTCACTATATAAACTGAAAAATGTTTGAAAATTTTGCTTTCCTTTGAATCACTTAATTAATATTTAGTTGTATAAGCACTGTTTCTGAGAACTGCTGTACATCTCTGTTGCGTGGAGTCAACCAACTTCTGGCACCTATGAACTGGTATTCCAGCCCAGGATGAATGGACTACATTCCACAGTTCTTCTCTATTTCTTGGTTTTGCCTCAGAAACTGCATTTGTGATGTCACCCCACAAGTTTTCTATTGGATTAAGATCCGGGGATTGGGCTGGCCACTCCATAACGTCAATCTTGTTCGCCTGGAACCAAGATGTTGCACGTTTACTGGTGTGTTTGGGGTCGTTGTCTTGTTGGAACACCCATTTCAAGGGCATTTCCTCTTCAGCATAAGGCAGCATGACCTCTTCAAGTATTCTGATGTATTCAAACTGATCCATGATCCCTGGTATGCGATAAATAGGCCCAACACCGTAGTATGAGAAACATCCCCATATCATGATGCTTGCGCAACCATGCTTCACTGTCTTCACAGTTTACTGTGGCTTGAATTCAGTGTTTGGGGGTCATCTGACAAACTGTCTCCGGCCACTAGACCCAAAAAGAACAATCTTACTTTCATCAGTCCACAAAATGTTGCGCCATTTCTCTTTAGGCCAGTCAATGTGCTCTTTGGCAAATTGTAACCTCTTCAGCACATGTCTTTTTTCAACAGTGGGACTTTGCGGGGGCTTCTTGCAGATAGCTTGGCTTCACATAGGCGTCTTCTAATTGTAACAGTACTCACAGGTAACTTTAGACCTTCTTTGATCTTCCTGGAGCTGATTGTTGGCTGAGTCCTTGCCATTTTGGCTATTCTTCTATCCATTCAAACGGTAGTTTTTCGCTTTCTTCTACGTCTTTCAGGTTTTGGTTGCCATTTTAAAGCATTTGCGATCATTGAGCAGCCTATCATTTTCTGCACTTCTTTATATGTTTTCCCCTCTCCAATCAACTTTTTAATCAAGGCACGCTGTTCTTCTGAACAATGTCTGGAATGACCCATTTTTCTCAGAATTCCAGAGAGAAATACATTGTAACCAGCATGGACAACATTTGCTGCCTTCCTTCCTTAAATAAGGGCAATAATTGCCACCTGTTTTTTCAAAGAATGAATGACCTCACTAATAGCACTCCACACTGCTATTATTTTGAACATGCCCCTTTCAATTAGTGATTCAATTACACAGAATCAGCAGCATGCATGTCATGACTGTTGGGTCTGTTGGATTTCTATTACTCTACTACACCTGCTAGTAAATTATTTGCCATGTAGAAATATCATTTCTACCAAAAACAGTGATTGATCAGGTTAGTGATTTCTGACTGCTATTATCTTGAACACAACTGTATATGGATTGTAATGAAATAGTATCGATGTGATTAATTTATTTTAAGAACTTAAAACTTAATAAAAGATATAAATAAATTTAAAAAAAAAATTGCATGCTGTGTGCTGGAGTTCTCTCCCGTCACCTCTTTTCCCTTGGTGTCAGAAAAACCTGTCAGAAATGACTCATGCAGATAGCAGAGGAACGAGGCAGCAGACAGAATCAACACTAGTGCTTTGGATTGAGGCAAACACACACTATAGAGGGATATGCATTGTTCACATCACATGTCAGAGGTTTAGTGACTTTAAGTGTCAGACATAGTACAGCTACAAACAAAACATTTATTTGTCTTTACATTTATCATGCAGATTTTATAGTGAGTCAAAAATCAGAAATACCGTTCGTGGATTGCGGATGAAAATTTTTGATCTTCCAAAGGAAAATTCTTCTTTGGGAATTTCTAAGTCATTGAGTAATACTTCTACACCAACTCTATAAGCAGAAAAGAAAAAAAAATCAATAAATTTTTTGTGAACCGCCAAAAGCAGGCCATACAACCAATCAGAATCAAATGGATCAGACCCTGTCTTCACACAAAGTGTAGATCTACCATCCAGTTAAAACCAGCTGTCTCTGATCATTGTACTTACTAAAAATGTTTAACCTTAAGGCCCCATTCACATTAGGTGAATTGGAATTGCCACAATTCTGCCCGCAATTCCCAATTCATTTATTTCAGGTACTGTCAATTTATGCAGCGCCTTACATATCTATATTGTACATTCACATTAGTCCCTGCTCTCAAGGAGCTTACAATCTAAGGTTCCTATTCACATTCATACATACACATCACAGAAAAATGTGCAATGTGTGTTTAGATGCCATTACTGGGTGTGACAATCAAGCAAAGCTTGTCATCCACAAAAGGAGCAGGAACTTCTTTTTGCTGAAAAACAAGCATAGGATAGCCCATGGAAGTGAATGGGCTGCCCACATAGAAACATGTGTAAATCACACTTTAAAAATCACAAGCAGAAACACTAGTTCCCGCTAACGCAAGATCTGAACGGGGCCTAAAAGTGAAAATGAAGGCAGTCACCAAATCTGAGCACACTGCTTAGCTGAAATCGCAAACAATGTTATCAGTGTTGCCAGCTATCTTCTGTGAACTACACAAGTTGTGAACGCCTGCCTATATAACAGAGATGAGGAGAGGGGGGAAGGTTTTTTTTTTAAATCCAAATCAGTACGGCCTAGGGTCACAGTGCTGCACAGCCATAGATTCAGTACGGAGTGTGAGTGTTGTCAACCCAGGACAGGAAGTGTAAGAACGGAGACTGGAGGATGTTTTTACTAGGAGGGTTAACAAGAGAAAATAAATGAAAAAAAATTGAAATTTTAAAAAAAAATGTTGCCACCAAATCTAAATAATAGTAAGCTGCAATATTTGCATTACAGTAAATTGGATTTGACACAATTGGTTTATTTGTGTGATATACAAGATACAATGTCCAGTACATAATCATTCCAGACCTGAAAGTCTCACACGTGTGGTATCACCATACTCAGAATGTGTTTGGGGTTGTAAATCTGACGCGTTTCGAGGACTTGCCTCGTTACTTTGTCTTCTTTCTCTCCGCTCCTTTCTTTCCTCTTTCCTAGTCAGTCTTCAGGTTATTTGTGCTGATTGTGATTTCTGTTTTGAGTCCCATACCAGCAATACTGCACCCATGTGCTGGACTCCTTTGAGAGCCCTGCGTGTTAAGTGCCTCTCTGTACTCCTTCTTCTATTCACCTCGCACTCTGTATGCTGATTCTGCAACAATTTTTCCCGAGAGTCTATTCTGTTATTAGTCTGTAAATGTCTATCATTTTTGCAATTTATTGCCTTTTCTTTCTGTACGGTACTTATGTATGCAGTTAATTTTTCGTGTTTTCTCATTAGTACATATTCTGTATTATCCATCGAATCTTTTGCATGTTATATTTCTGGTGATTTGGGTTTTTTTTGGTGCCCCAAAGCACCTTGCCCCCCATGCTGATGAGGCTCTTTTCCCCACAACCCTGTCTCGGTAGTTGAGGGTGTGCGGGATGTGACTTGTGAGAATCTTTTTTTAGTTTTTTTAATAAAGGACTTGTCAAGAACTTTTGTTGTGTTTTTACTCTTTTAACACTTTATTGGTGAATGAGAAGGGGTACTACCCCATAATCATTCGCAGGGAAGGGGGGGTGGCATCTCAGGGCCCCCTTGTTAAAAGGGGGCTTCCATATTCCAATAAGTCACCCCAACAACCACCGACCAGGGTTGTGGGGAAGAGGCCCTTGTCTCCTTGCCTCCCCTGTCTCAAAGTACACCCCCCCAGCATGTTGAGGGTATGTGGCCTGGTATGGTTTTGGGCGGGTGGCAGGGGGTTCGCTCGCTTGTCTCCCCCCCCCCCCTCCCCCCTGGCCTGCCGGACTGCATGCTCAGATGAGAGTTTTGTATTTTTATTTGACGTGGGGTTCCCCTTAAAATCCATACCAGACCCAAAGGGCCTGGTAAGGATAGGGGGTGAGGGGGGGGCCTACACAGGTTTCCTCCCAAATTTTTAATTACATGCATTTTTTTTTGCATTCAGCTCTCAGCGTGGAACCCAGCTGACGAGTCATCGGTTGTTAAGAATGTGGTGGCCAGCTTTTGGAATCCTTACAAAAAGCAGCCAGCTTTTGGAATCCTTACAAAATGAATAAACCAAATGAAAGCAAACTAATCTTTCCTTAAAAAAAAAAACAAAAAAAAAAAAAACGCAAAACACAAAAGTAGTGTGAAAAAACATATCAAAAACTTGTGGAAAAAAACACACACCACAAAAACGGATCAAATGCACACTGAATTGGTGTGAACTGAGCCTTAAGGTGGTTCCACTGAGCTTTGCATTGGTTTAGTAAAGGACTTTATGGTTCCTTTATATCCACCTTACCAGATTATACATTTTGCAGCCAAGAGCCCAAATGTTGCTATACAGACAGATTCTCCTGCCTATCTAAAGTTGGATATGCATGGCTCAAAAATTCATTCTGTGTGTGGCCCTCCCTGTCCACCAAAAGTCAATCGGTAGACAGCTGGAAAACTTTAATTCAATCAATCAGCGGCAGTGCTGATCAGTGTATTCTGTCAGGTGATTAATTGCACTGTCAAAATACACTAGCACCTCAGGAATGATTCCTTCATTTACCTCACATGTGTGGATGGGGCAATTTATCGAATGAAAATAAATAACCCAATACCCAACTTGGTTACTGTAAATAGGCTAAAAATTGACAGATTATCTTGTTCACATGTATGACCTGCCCATTTGGATATGCATATTAATTAAACACACAGCAACTGATTGGGGCATTCAAAATAATTAATCACAACACTCTAGCTTAATTATCAACTTAATGTTAGAAAGAAAAGGTTACAAACAGGACATAGGTCACTGTTTACATATATTACCTTTTTGTACTTGCAGTATATTTGTGAATATGATATTTCATAGGTACATTAAAAAAAAAAAAAAAAACATACCTTGCCGGTCCTTTCCAGTGTGGCCATGTCTGTTTACAGAGCATCTTGTATCTTTCAAGACAAGGATCATATGGTTGCCTGAAGGCATATCCTGCTCTTCTGACCCGGACATTTTCAAGCAGACCCAGGTAACTAACTTGGTGTCGCACAAGAGCATCATTGAAAATATGGGCTGCCTTCTTGTCATTTGGTTTAATACATCTGAAAAGGTAACAGATTCTGACTATTACAAGTACAGTAATCAATGATTAAGGTGTATTTACTGTATATTTAAGATGTGATATTTACTGTACATGTTAAATTATCCTATACTAGCAAGGTAGTTAAAAATTTGCTTATATTTTTCAAAATGAGTGACCTACCGGATATAGTTAGGATTCTTTGTTTGCAAGTTTTTCATCAGAGTTGATACTGAAGCCTTGAACTGTGAACCAGCAGTCGGTGGCCTTTTGAGGTTAATCTTGGCTGGGTTTCCCTCTGGGAACATATCCTTGATAAGGCCATGGTTTGCTTTCCACATAGCTTGTGAGAGGTCACGGTACAACAAGTCATTGTTCTTATCAACAAAGCCTTCTACCTCATACATAACCTGGAAAACAAATTAATGAGTACTGTAATAGGAGGACAGAAAAACTTTTGCTTATTTCCAGGATGGGAGATAAATTTATCCCAGGTTTCAGCCATCCATAGATGGATAAAATTCAGCAGGTTCAAAATTCAGCCAATTCATCCATAGGCAGGCTGGTTGTACAGAAGTCAGTCTTTTAATTGGCTTCCGTACAACCAACCTGCTGGAAAATGTTTGCTCCATCAGTGCCACCAGCTAAAGCGGATAGTGCTGATGATTGTATTCTGATGACTGGGAAGCATTAGTGTTGTCTGAATAGCTCCAATGAGAGGGACTTCCCAAGTGGGGGAATCGATTCATTTTCTTTCATTCATTCCGCTGGTTGAAAGAAAATGAATCATGTATGAATGAAGGTAAAAAAAAACCTGTATGTAGCAGCCACCACCCCCCACACCCCCTCAATACTTACCTGAGCCCCATCTCGATCCAGCGACATGCACAAGACCTTCGGCTGTCCCAGGTTTCTACCTTCTCGTTGGCTGAGACAGCAGTGGGAGCCATTGACTCCTGCTGCTGTCAATCACAGCCAGTAAGCATATGAGGGGAGAGAGGGGGAAGGGCCGAGTTACTTCTGTGTGCGAAAGGACACAGCAGCGGCTCAAGAGTGAGCCTGCTCAGGTGCCCCATAGCAAGCTGTTTGCTAAGGGGGCACTGAGCAGGGGTAAGGGTCCAGAAGCGCTGGCGGGGGGGACCCAAGCAGAGGAGGATTGGGGCTGCTGTGCAGAAAACCACTGCACAGAGCAGGTAAGTATGACATGTATGTTATTAAAGAAAAAAAAAAATCTGCCTGTACAATCACTTTAAGTAACTCAAAAAAAAAAAAAAAAAGAAACAATTTAAAGTGTATGTAAAGTGGATGCAAACCCTGACACTGAATCAAGTAAAATAAAAGAAAACTAAATCTTGGACAGAAAAAAAGAAAAACAGAAAAAAAACACTAATCTAACCACCACATCCAAGGACTGGAAAGCTGCAATGTATTATATTTGGGTTCATGAGTTTAGATACAGCTTTTAAATAAAACTGCTAGTGTAAAAATGCACACATTATAAATACTGTAAATTCTTGCTCTTGTTTGTATTTGTGTGTGTTCCTGTGCGCCTATAATGCTCTAAGAATGGATTAAAACACTTGATAAATTCTTTTAGTAGTAATACCTTGCCAGCATAATGCTGAATCCTAAAGCAGCTGTGTGGCAGAGACGTATCATTCAGGAAACGTGAAGATTTGCTCATTCGACTTTCAAAATGCTGGTGTGTAGCACAAATTTGATTCAGTTTCTCTAGGAATGTGTCATCAGTAACTGTGCCGGGTCGCAGACATTCTTCATCCAGCATAGCCAGAATTCCATTTTGATTCTGCAAACAAGTCATACAAACATACACTGTGATCATGTATTTGCAATGTTCATATTAATTGGTACTGTGCAACCTGAGGGTCACCGGGGTCTTGGAATTTGTGGAATGTATCTTTCAGTTAGCAAATTGCTGACTCTGCTAATAATTTCTATTGAGTACAGCTTCACTTCTGGTTCCTGACAAATGGTAAAGACGGATACATATAGAACCCTTAATAAGTACACACATAGGGGGAGATTTACTAAAACTGGTGCACACAGACTTTTCTGTAGCTGTACATGGTAGCTCAAGCTTAATTGAACAAACTGAAGTTAGGATTGATTGGCTAGCTGTACCAGGATTAGGATTGATATACTGTATTTAGGATTGATAGCTGTACCAGATTCAGTGTGCACCAATTTTAGTAAATGCCCCTCATAGTGTCCTAGCATTGATGAAAATTTCACTGCTAAAGTCATTCTCATGATGAATCACCAGTTTATTTAATTTAAAGGAACACTCCAATCAAAAATATTCTAAATGTGTACTGAGACAAAGAGAAATCTAGAATTTACTGCACCAAACATTTAGTGTCAAGAACAATGAATACAAATAATGCTGCATGTCAAGTTTCTGTAAGAGAATACATACATCTTTATTAAACGCTAACAGTTTAAATTATGAACAAAAAATCATAAGCAGCAGCTTATGGATATCAATAATAAAATCTACATCAACCAGGACTATTCAGCAAACACTGACAGCATGCAGGCAGTTAAAAAAGCGATAGTTATAAGCAGTATTCAGCAATCACTTTACAACAATCAGTGCAAGGAAACAGATCTGGGAAGTGGTGGCTATGGCTTAGGTCAGGGGTGGGCAACTGTGGCCCTCCAGCTGTTGTAGAACTACAAGTCCCATGAGGCATTGCAAAACTGACAGTTACAAGCATGACTACTAAAGGCAGAGGCATGATGGGACTTGTAGTTCACCAACAGCTGGAGGGCCACAGTTGCCCACCCCTGGCTTAGGTAATTTACATACACTCATATTAAATATCCATTCTTTTTGCACAGCTGTTTTTTACAGAGATAAGAAAGAAAACACTTAGATGAACTTGAAGATTATTATGTGCAGTGACAGATTATCAATGAAAATGCAAATTGTTTAATTTATTAATACAGATTATTGCTAACACTAGTTATATTTATAATTACTAACTTTTAGCCCTTTTCTGATGTTTATAAGATTGGTCAATACTTACATTTTCAATTAGATCACAAATAATAGCATTGTTGAAGTATTCAATATGAGTCCACTCAATACCCTAAAATTGCAAAAAGTAAATCATTAGTTCCATTTTGGAAAAGGAAAAAACAACAACTTTAGGTATACTTTATGTACTTCCTATTACCAAGCTGTCACATAAATCTGTGCAAACATCCTTATTTTCTAGCTCTGCTGTTACCGTGATGTGTTACAATGCAGCTTTATTAAATAGTTAATTTCTTATGGAGTTTAAATGTAGTATCCTATTCATTAACTGTTTGACCATATTGGGTGCCCTTGAACAGCTTCTAGACTTGGTCTCCCTTCCTTTCCCTCAACTGTGTCAAATTCCCATGCACTTGAGTGGAAGAAAGCCAGAGTCTAAGGCAGTAAATATTTCTCATAGTTATGTTAGGTATGTCCTTGTTCTAGACACAGATGCAAGTCTAGCTTGAATATTTAAAATAAGTAAACAATTGTAAATAGTTCTTGCTGTTGCTTTGAAATGTTTTTAAACTATAGACTTTCATTTGGTCCGTTTCTTTCACAGAAAGGAGAAAAAAAATTCTATGCAAACACCTAGAAAGTTGTCCAAGTGAAAACATTATGCAGATTTTTTTTTTTCAATAGGCAGCATCAGCAACGGAGATGATGCAGTAATTGGGTCATGGGTTCAATTCCCAACCATGGCGCCTCAGGCATGGAGTTTCCATGTTCTCCCTGTGTTCGCGTGGGTTTCCTCCGGGTACTCCGGTTTCCTCTCACACTCCAAAGACATGCTGGTAGGTTAATTGACTCCTGTCTAAATTGTCCTAGTTTCATCCCTGGCCATGTGGGATCTCCTGCATGGTAGGGGTTGGGGAAAGACCTGCAACCTACCCTGTAAAATAATTGCTAAGAGAATTCATGGAAAAAGTTGCTTACGAGTGACGGTCCATGCAATCGCCAAGGGTCAAATACGAGTGAATGGATATATATATATATATATATATATATATATATATATATACACACACACACACACACATACACCTCAAAAAAAATTAAAGGAACACTTTTTAATCAGAGTATAGCATCAAGCAACTTAAACTCCTGGGATATTGAGGGGGTTGTTAATCAGTTTCAGCTGCTTTGGTGTTAAGAAATTAACAAAAGCTGTACTAAGTGGGTAACAATGAGTCAACCACCAAAACAGGAATGGTTTTACAGGTGGAGGCCACTGACAGTTTTTTCCCTACTCATCTTTTCTGACTGTTTTTCACTAGTTTTGCATTTGGCTAGGGTCAGGGTCACTACTGGTGGCCTGAGAGGCCGATGTCCACTAGTGGGCCCTGTGCTCACTGCCCGGCACCATAGAGCTCGATTGGCATTTGCCACTGAAAACCAGAATTGACAGGTGCGCTACGGGCACCCTGTGCTTTTCACAAATGAGAGCAGGTTCACCCTGAGCACATGTGATAGACGTGAAAGGGTCTTGAGAAGGCGTGGAGAACATTATGCTGCCTATAATATCATTCAGCATGACCGTTTTGGTGGTGGGTCAGTGATGGTCTGGGAAGGCATATTCATTGAGGGATGCACAGACCTCTACAGGATTCATTGTTTAACCCTATGCTGGCGCAGTGGGCTCTAGATTCTTCCTGGTGGACGACAATGCCCGGCCTCATGTGGCGAGAGTATGCAGGCAGTTCCTGGAGGATAAAGGAATTGATACCATTAAATGGCCCCCACGCTCGCCTAACCTAAATCCAATATAGCACCTCTGGGATATCATGTTTCGGTCCATCCGACGTCGCCAGATTGCACCTCAGACTGTCCAGGAGCTCAGTGATGCCCTGGTCTAGATCTGGGAGGAAATACCCCAGAACACCATCCGTAGTCTCATTAGGAGCATGCCCCGACATTGTCAGCCATGCATACAAGCATGTGGGGGCCATACTGAGTACCATTTTGAGTTGCTGCAATGAAATTATGGGGGGGCCTACTGAGTACCATTTTGAGTTGCTGCAATGAAATTTTGGCAAAATGGACTAGCCTGTTGCATCATTTTTTCACTTTGATTTTCAGGGTATCTTTGAATTCAGTCTCTGTCGGTTGATAATTTTCATTTCCATCAAACAATGGGGCATCCTTACATTCCTAACACATTACCCAGTCCATATCGATATAGAAATCCAGCATATGTTTCCCCATTGAGACCTGATGTTTTCAAAGTGTTCCTTAAATTTTTTTTTAGATATATATATATATATATTTTTTTTTTTTTTTTTTCTTTTGATGAAAGGCGGCAGCACAGTGGCAGAGCTTACAAACAACCCAGTATGGCAAAAGGGGCAAATAATACAATTATGTGTTATCTACAGTGCTAACATGGTGTACATAGTTTGTATTAGTATCCTTTTAAGATAATAATATAGCGGTCTGTAAGTATGGGGATTTTTTGCTCTAATCTCAGGTCTTCATATTAATCCAGGAAAATCACAAGCTCTTTCGGTGTCCCTTACACCGCATACATTACAAGCCCTTCGTCAAACTTTTCCATTTCAATGGCTCAATTCACTGCCATATTTAGGTATCCAGCTCTCTCCTACTTATGAAGGCCTTTATCAGGCTAATTTCCCCCCTTTGTTTAAAGTGTTGTCGGATTTGTTGGCCTCATGGAGCCATGTTCCGTTATCCTGGTTCGGTAGAATCAATGCAATCCGTATGACATGCTTACCTAAGCTATTATACTTTTTCAGAGTTCTACCAATCCCTATACCCCCCATATACTCCGAATCCAACAGCGGAATATTCTTCGTTTTATCTAAAGTTCTTCCCAGCCTCGCCTCAACAAGCAATTAATGTTCACCAGCAAAGCTCAAGGAGGCCTCTTGGTCCCTAATCTTCAAGCCTACTATCTTGCAGCCAAACTTGCTTCTATTCCCCATTTACATGAGACTCTCCATTTGCCCCTATGGGCCACAATCGATATGGTTGCCTCTTATCCGACTCCCTTGCCTTCTCTACTGTGGCTCCCTTCTGCCCATCGCCCTAGGTCCCTCCTTGTTGCACACTCTCAGGCTCTGGGATTCGATCAAATATTCTGCTGGTTTGATTTTGCCTCATTTGCCTCTATTACGCCTCTTCTGATGTCCATTGTTTCCTCCTGGATTGGACCAACCAGGCAAATTTTCCTGGTGGACAGAACATGGGTTTTTAAATATGGATAAATCAGTGAGCACTCTCAATATAAGCAGCTGTTGCACTAAAGGTAACCAGATAAAACCTCAATCATAAATATAAATCCAAGTGCAGCGCTAATAAATATATTATTGGTAATAATGTCCATATAGGCGACCAAATAAATGTATAAATAAGATATAATGAATAAAAGAATAAAGTGTCAACTGTCAAGTGACAAACCTAGGTTATAACTGCACTTTTACACCATAGTGCGGATGACCCTACTACTTTTTTTTCATTCTCTCTTTCTTCTCTCTTCTGGCTTTCTTCTATTTTATCCTGTTGATTCTTTTCTTACTACAAAAGTATTTCTTTGTCTTATCTTATCATCGTTAAACTGGCTTTAAGGTCAAATGAACACAGTAACTCCATGTGATGTTTTTCTTTTCTTATATGGTAGGGCTTGCTGCCCTTGGGTTATTCCCCAATTTTCTTAAGTTGTTACTGGTTTTTATTGCTGAATTTCAAAAATGTCAGAACACCATTTCTACAATTGGTTTCACTCCTCTGCATCCACCACACGTGTATTGTCATTTCTAATATTTTGTCATGACTGGCTGGGTGTGATGACATCAGGAACAGTCCACCACACAAGACTGCTAAACCTCGGGGGGCAGGAGTGGTAGGTATGAGTCTTGCACTGGGAGGATCAGTGAATTAGGTAACTATACCGCTGCTCTGCTGACCCCTAGACAAAAACAAGCAGTTAATCCAAGCAGTGCAGACACAGCCCCAATGCATGAGACAAACAAAGTTTTTCCTAGAGTTCTGCTTTAAGTCCTTTTTACCTTTTACTGCTGAACTAAATTCTAGGGTTTAGGGGGTGCAAAATACCCAAAATTTGGAAAGGTATTTAAGGTGGTAGTAGGCCCTTTAAGAGCAGCCACTTGGCAATAGCTGGTCCTGTGAGATCAGGAAGGTCTATATGACCCTGTATGAGCAGTCAAATCAAGTTGTTCCTAGACCCTCAGATAGAAGTCAGAAATACTCTGATTTGTGAGAGATGAACTCTTCTTACAATGTCCAGATGGTGGCTTCTACCAGCTTCTTTGTGACAATCTTCAGCAAGAAGATCCTATTCCACCTCCATTGCCTTCAAATATCCACTCAAGAAGGTAGCTTAGGTTTTTAGGCTCCTGGCACAGACACCAGTGTGAGGCAAGGGGCAAGTGTAGAAACACTCTACACATACATTCTGCCCAGGAGGAAAGAGAACGCTCCGGAAGGTGACCCAAATACTTATTTTCCAATACAATAGCTATAAACAAGGACCGCAGAGATTGATTGAGCCAAATAAATATTCTTAAAGTGTTACTAAACCCAGGACCCTGCATCCGCTATATCTGGTCTCCCACAGTAAAACAACTGTAATTATTGGAAATGCAATTATTTTAGTAAATATAAACTGTTAAATACCTTTTCTCATCAGAAGGTGGAGCAGTCTTGTGGCTTCTATCAGTGTTCAGCCAAGCACTAGATAAAGCTTGCAGGAGGAGTTTTCTTTCTGCTCTAGGAGGATACAAAACCCCTGACCTCTGTCTGACTAGTGCTGATTGGCCTTGTGCTGATCACATGCACTCTCCCAAGAAAACAAAAACTCTCTAGCAATACACACCAAATTGAGCATGTGCAAAATGCCTACAGTTCAGTCTGTCTTATCAGGAGATAAGAGGTGGTCGCTTGAAAAAGGGGAGGAACAGAGAAAAAAGGATCAAATGGCCTTTTTACACAATGCAGGGGATTAACCGCTTAGGTTCCACAGTGAGTATAACAAGCATGCTTTACTGTATATTCAGGTTGATTTTACTGTTGTAGGTTTAGTAACATTTTAACTCAGTGTTTGTTCTTCTCACTCCTACTGGAAAACCTCCTTATGGCGATTTTGAATTGCGGGCAGAATCGCTGCGATTCTGCCCGCGATTCCAAATCACACTGAAATTGTGGCAAAATGCAACACGTGTGTTAAGGTGCCACTAATTTTCAATGGCAGCTCAAATGCAATGTGGTTTTGTTGCGATTGTCACGCAGCAATCTACATCACGCAAAGCTTGTCGCCCAAAAAGGAGCAGGGGGAAAAGCTACCTGCAATGCAGTTTGGCACAATTGTTGTGAAACAACTGCAACAAAAGTGCTTCGTGTTTGAGGTACCATTCACAATGAATGCCACCTAAACATGTGTGCTCTGTTTTTGCCAAGATTGTAGTGTGATTTGGAATTGAGGACAGAATTTCTGCGATTCTGCCCACAATTCAAAATTGCAAATTGTGAATGCAGCCTTAAAGTTACAGACAGATTCAAACAGCTGAGATTAGGGAAGACCTGCAGATCCTAGAAAAAGGCTACAGCCTAGCAAAAACACTCTAAATAGTATATTTAACAGACTTAAAGGCAGCAAATAAGAAGAGTTAATTGTTCAGGCTGACACACACTTTAAAAAAAATGATTGCTTTACATTTCTGCATTCTGGGTTCAAATCCTGTCAGGGACATTATCTGGAGCTTGTATATTTTCCCTGTGTTTGTGGGAGTTTCCTACAGTCCCCCTCATTTGCAACCAAAAAAAGGGTTAATACTTTGTTTCTGTTTGCTACAAGTTCCCATTTATATAATATAAAAAACATGATTTTTGACTTGACCGCAAAAAAATCCTATACTAGGGAGTAAATTTCGGGACACAGGATGAAGTACTTCAACTACATTGGGTTATGCTGCTGCCTTCAGCAGACAGCGCACTGGCTAAGCATAGCTGTAAGGACAGTCCAGTATAAACCCTCCCATTCCCAGCATGCCTTGTTTTTTTTAGCAAAAAATAATAAGCGTGGATCATAAGAATAGAGCAGGACAGGTGTCCCATAAGATATTTCAAGAAAAGAATATGGCAAGTCAAAAATACGATTTGCCTAACTGTACTTTAAGGGACACAGGATAAATTAGTTCAGGTACATTCGGCCATCCAAAAGCAGTCCAAAAAAGGGTTGGCAACAACATAAACAAATAATAAACAGACCAATGAAATCAACTGGTTAACAGAGGGGGCTCAAAAAACCCACCAAGGAACCTTATAACCGAAGTTGGCATCAGCTGATGCCTGAACATCCACCAGGTAAATCTTAATGAACGTGTGAACAGACGGCCAGCTGGCAGCCTTGCAATCTGGAAACCAGATCTCTGATGCTGAAAAGTTCATAAAGCACTAATTGATCTAGTGCACTTTGACCAGGAAATAGGGAAACTTGCTCTTGAGGTCCTAAGCTTGAACGATGAGCTATGAAATCTATCTAGTGATAGTGGAACGAAAACAGACTTTCAAGAATTACACAAGAGAATTGAACTATCAAAAAGGGAGCTGTAGCTGACAGATAAACTCAAAATGCGTACCACATCCAGACAATGGAGGGAGATCTCCTTAGGATGTTTAGGAGAAGGACAGAGAAAAGGTAGAACAATGCCCTGGCTAAGGTGAGAAGTATATATACAAGGATGAGATCTCCACAAATCAAGAATATAGCAAATTAATTTGATCGCACCAAGAGGTCAGAAGGCATATCCAACACATTTCAGGGGCTCACAGTTCCCCCTTCTTTAGGGCTTACATGCTGGCAATAATTGCAGATAATACTGGAGAGGTAACTGTAAGAAACGGAGTTGGAATGATCACAGCATGGTTTGTCTTGTCTGACAGTTGTTAGACTGTAGGCATGAGCTCCAGTTGCTGGAGGACAGAGAGGTCTGTTGAGTAGAGCCCAGATCCTAGGACAACCTTGCAGGGCAGAATAAGGCCCTAGAAATTACTTCAATCCTTTTATCAACCAGGTCTTTAAACACAGGGATGTCCTCAACAAGGACAGTGAGAGTGTTGTTCTTGTTAAGTCAAAAAATCAATGGGTCAACAACTGGAACGGGCCACTTATTTAGCAATTCCTCCTTCCCCTTCATAAGGTATTGGTATTACCAATGGCTATACAGGACAGAATTCAATAGGGAATGCACTGAACAAGATTTAACAGGTTAAGGGCAATTTAGAGAACCCTGGCTGGTGACATCAAGTGTAAGCGATGCAATCAGCTCCAAATCTATCCTGTGCACAGTGTGTGCGTCATTGGGGACTGAAATGTTTTCCTTAAGTAATATCTACAAACTGCGTCTCCTTGTGCACAAAGTCTTCAAATAAAGATCTGGTACAATCTTCCTCATCCTCTGGTACAATCTTCCTCATCCTTGGCAACTGCAGCCTCAGGCAGTTCAGAGACAGACTCTGGAGGACAGGAAGCTTGCAGCCCCTGCGTTCTGAGTAAATCCAGCCATAGATAAAGTGGTTTTCTTTGCAGGAAAGAAAATTGCTCAATTCCCGCATCAACACTGACAATCCCCTCTGCGGAGCCATTGTGTACTCCTAGCGCCCCTCCAACGGGCCAAAAATAAATCTTGATTAAAAAGTTTTCCTTCTTTCAGAGGAAAAAAGATGTCTGTTGTCCTAGGACAGTAGGCATGCTGGTGGGGTTATTTTGGGCTGTCCTTACAGCTTTGTTTTGGCAATATTCAATCTCTTGAAGGCAGCAGCATAACTGAATTATGCCATCCTTTGTCCCTGAATGTAGAATTAAGAAAAATATTTGAAAATTGCTGCTTATCTTTTTTATTTATTTTCTGTTAAGTAGAGGATCATGGAGTTATGTTTACCATAATTAACTGGTCTATGTTGTGCTGGCAGGTCTCTTTATCAGTTGTAAATTAAATGTGCACATTGTCTGTCCTAACACAGGGTTAAGGCTCTGAAGACTTGGGTGGTATGTTTTATGTTACTGCACTTTAAAATTAAACTGTTCCTCAGTTTCCCCTCTAATTGCACAATGGAAGCTATTCTAAAAAAGACTGGCTATAGTGTTCCAAAGAAACAACTAGAAAGGTTAGTAAAAATGATGCTTGTATTTATTTTTAGGTACGCAGAGTGAATGGTGGAGTTTTCCCAAATTTAACAGCAAATGTGTGCTAGGTTACCTCTCGTATGTATTCTTCTTGTTCTTCCTTCAAAGTCAATTCAATAAAGATCTGTTGCAACTTCTCATTGCAGTAGTTGATGATAAACTGCTCAAAACTGTTCTCCTGAAACAGTTAAACAGTACACCAGTCAGTCTCACATTAATAACTATGCATCAATTAAAGCTATTCAAAAGATGGTACTCAGATTTGATTAAATGCAGAATGTAAAACATATAAACACACAGTACACCGTATATACTTAAGTGCTTTCATGTATATTAGTTGACTAAATACACTTCAAAGCTGTTTAACCATTTGCTGGCTCAGATGTAATTCAGAGCAGTGACCTGTAAACAGACTCCCAGCCAGAAGTTTGTTTACATTCTGTCACCTGTCAGCTTTCTAATGGAAATGATTCAGCCGCCTGATCACTTCCACATGTACAGTGACATTCTTTATCATCCCCCTTGTTATAATAATAAAGTTAATTACAAAAAAAAAGTAAAAAAATGTAAAGTTTAATAAAATCATTAACACATAAATCACAAACAAGCATAAATGCGCACGTTGCCTATGAAGACGAGGATTGTGCCACGCATATTAGGTATTGGTGTACACAGCTTAGTGAAAGAAATGATTTTGGGGGCCAGCGTCCACTTTTAACGCTTATCTGGTGACATGTTAAGGCAAGGGTGCTCAACCCGTGGCCTGTGGAGCCCTTTGATGTGGCTGGCCCACGACCTCAACCCCGGGAAGTGCATGCCCATGTTCTGGGAGAGCAGGTGGGCAAGTCCAGATAGCAATCAATCTGTTGCAGAATCGTTATCCCTAAGCATGGTGACGGCACCGGCAGCAGATGGTCATGGGGGAGCAGGAGCTGCATATAAGCTGATGATTCCTGTGTAGCCTCGGCTCCTATCACAGGCGGAGTGATACTAAGTATGAACAGGAGCCAGGCACTGTGTAGTTTTGTGATAAAAATAATACACCTTATATGGAGGTGTGCCTTTAATAATTCATATGGTAAAAAAAAAATAACAGTTAACCCGGCTATGGCAGACAAATGTTGACCCACATTGATGTAAGACTCACAATAATCCCGGTGGACACAGTGCTACTATGATAATTCACGCCACTCCGTGGCATAAAACTGGAAGAACGGTCTGGATAAAAGCGCACAGATGTGTCCCAAAGGAAATAAGTGAATGGTATTTGTCAACTGTGATTAGTGGGGAAAAAAACTCACTGCTGCCATGGTAAAAACACCGGTTTGTGGAAGGTATGAACAGGAGCCAGGCGCTGCGTAGTTTTGTGATAAAAGTAATACACCTTATATGGAGGTGTGCCTTTAATAATTCATATGGTAAAAAATAGATAGTTAACCCGCCTATGGCGGACAAATGTTGACCCACATTGATGTAAGACTCACAATAATCCCGGTGGACACAGTTCTGCTATAATACTACTGTATGATACTAAGTGTACCTCACTTGGGATCTTTATAGTAGCCTGGAGAGCAGCAAAAGAAGCTTGAAGAGAAAGGATCAGTGTATTACACATCACATACACTGCACTTTCTATTATATCCTGTGAGTTTGGTGCACTTTTTGAAAATGCACACCACCTACAAAATGATAAATAAGTCTATAGCTCAGTGCAGCTAACCTGCAGGGAATGTGCTGCACCCTCAGTGCAGGTAAACTGCAACACATCAGTGTGAAAGCACCATACAGGGGGCTCAGGACAGTAAGGATTCGATTACATTTGCAGTTTGGAAAGCGGTAAAACCCCATAGTTCATTGTGGCCAGTGACCAGTTACCAAATCACTTTAGTGGCCCGCTCTTCATAAGGTTGAGCACCCCTGTGTTAAGGTATTTAAAGAGTAGCTTATGGAAAATTTTAGGTTCCATAATTTTTCACTGTTTAATGTTGTGTACAATTTAAGGCTTAACACGTTGGCTATCTATTTATTCAACACAACACCATCCTTTATATTTACCAAAAATTGGGTGAAAAAGGGTGAAAAAAAAAAAAGAGTTTAAAGGGAAAACTGGAAATCTCACTTCCCCCATAGTTACTCAGGTTTGCTTAAGACAAACAGTTATTGTACGACGACAAAATTTACTTGCAACTCCAGACAGAAAATAAAAAGGAATTTTAATTTTTCTAGGACATCTCCATTACATAACTGTTACATGAAATTAATTGATACCATAGCTATGATAAGGATCTAACTTGTGTTCGGTTCTTCAAATAGAAACAAACACTTTAGTACTGCGCCACGTTCATTTCCCATGGATGATATGTGAATCAGATGAGACCCTGGTATTACATCAAATAATCTGCTCTCATCTCACTTGCTCAGCACAACTAAAGAATGTTTTCTGCTGACATAAGCTTGCTGCCTCCACTTCACCCTACACACATTCATTTCATCAAGTATGCACACACAGCTAGATCAAACAGAATGCCAGCCAGAAGCCAGGACCTAATTAAAGTACCCACAACCCTTATGCACTGTTTTGCTGTGACAGACATCCTTTATTACCCAAATTCATGGCTCTGCTTTGTGTTGACTCAGTTTACACAGTAAGGGTCATGATGCTTCCTCTAGAAAAGCTGCTTTTGGTCGAATTTGAATTCCCATTAACCCAGCTCTTTGCAGTTGTTACCAATGAAAGATATAGTACGTCAGTGATTCTTAACCTTTTCTGAATGTAAAGAGCACACAGAGGTGGATTTACTAAAACTGGAAAGTGCAAAATCTGGTGCAGCTGTGCATAGTAGTCAGTCAGCTTCTAATGTCAGCTTGTTCAATTAAGCTTTGACAAAAAAAAAACTGGAAGTTCGACTGGTTTCTCTGCAGAGCAGCAACAGATTTTGCACTCCCCATTTTTAGTAAAACAACCCCATATACTTTTTATTGAAATTTGATTGCCTCATACATATATGACATACACAAAGTTTGAATAAAGTAAACAATCTTAACCAAAAATTCACTTCTTTTCATGCAAGTAATGGCCACAATTTGCAAAAATGAAATACAATCACCTTGTGCAAATTTAACAAAACAATTTTAATTCTGCTCAAACGTAAATTTTATTTTTTATCTGACCCGCACAGACCCCCTGAAACCCATCCATGGACCACTTAAGGGTCCATGAACCCCAGGTTAAGAACCCCTGCAGTAAGTGATACCCAGACACGCATATAAAATGATCTTGAAAATTTGTACAAAAATAGAAAGACATGAGAAAACATAAGAAAATGGGGCCTGAAGGTCATCCCTTCACAACCTATCAAATGTCAAACATAAGTGCAATCCCCTATGCAAGCAGTTGAGAATGCCAGCACAGGAGTAACAACAATAGGCTTCAAGAGTAGTAAACTGACAATCAGCAAGAAAAATTTGCATCAGCATTACAAACATTTAGGATAAAGCCCACCTAGTATGTAAATCATAGACTATTCTATTAGGGAGAGTGGGTAACCCTCAGAGAGAAACCCCCACTCCCTCTCTGACCACTGAGGTAAAAACATTATCTTCTATTTTCAGACTCTACAAGCAATATACTCAGTTCTCTGCACCCACACAAAAGTTTATGGAAACTAGATGTACTGCATTTGTTACAAAGACTTTCTCAACATGGAAAAAACCTCTACAGAAAAGTATTCCATCAACCATTTTGCTTTACTTTTAAAAGAGATGCATCTGCTTCAGAAGAATATCAGCATTTTCAATGAAGCTCTTCAGAACTACCTCTTACCTTTCAAACACTTTACCAAGTATCTAACTTAAAGTGATACTAAAGGCTTTTTTTTCAAATAAACACATCATACTTGCCTGCTGTTTGCAGTGGTTTTGCAAAGAGCAGCCTTGAGCCTCCTCTTCTCGGGTCCTCCATGGGCGTTCCTGGCCTCTCCCTCCTGTCGGGTGCCCCCACAGCAAGCAGCTTGCTATGGGGGCACCTGCTGCTCCATGTATCCATTCACACAGTAGCCATGGCTCGACGCCAACCCCTCTCTCTTCTTATTGGCTCACTGGCTGTGATTGACAGCAGTGGGAACCAATGGCTCCCACTGCTGTCTCAGCCAATGAAAAGAGGGAATCCCTGAAAAGCTGAGACTCCAGTGCACATCACTGGATCAGGAGGGGGCTTAGGTGAGTATTAGGGGGGCTGGGGGCACTGCTGCACAGAGAATGCATGAAGGCAAAAAACCTGGAGCCTTTACAACCACTTTAAACTCCAGGCAAGCATCTAGATACAGAAGGAAAGCTAGAAGCCAATTGGTTGGACAGCAACTCTAGATTCCGGCTGTTCTGACTTATGTTTAGATAACTAATAATCTATGCGTGTCCCAAATACAGTGGGGGGTTAAAGCAGAACTTCACCCAAAAAAAAGGGAAAAAGCAGCTATTCCTCCTCACCCCCTCCCCCCCTTCTGTCAAAATTGGCTTTTTTTTTGGGGGGGGGGGTACCTGATTTTGTCATTTACCCAACTGACTGTGGCACCATTCACAAGACGAATCACGGCTCGCACATGTGCTGTAGGTAGCCAGCTGTGAAGCTGCAAGCAGTGACAGTCATCTGCCCATAGTGAATATGTCAGCGACAGGGACCAAAGAGCAGAGAAGAAACCAGCTGGGGTGAGCATGACGCTTGATCCATGGACAGATGAGTGCCTGTTTTTAAAAATCAGCAGCTACAGTTTTTGTAGCTGCTGACTTTTAAATTTCACAGATAGGACTGAAGAACCACTTTAATGCCAGAATAATTTTTCAAATTGTAAGTGCAATTTTGAATGAATGTTAAGTGGTTTTAATTTACTATACTATGGCGGTATTCTTGTGGCTCTGAGTACTTTTTAGAGACAAGTTGTGGCAGACTGAATTTCTTAAAGACAAAGTGTTCTTGCAACCATTGTGTGGGTGAACCGATGTATATGTGAACTGGGAATCGTCTATTACATTTCCTGTTCAAGGAGAGGTGCAGAATGACCTAGCATCATTTGCAGCATCAGGATTTTAGTTCAGTTCCTGGAAAGTGGTGATTGAAACTGTTACAGCACTGGGTTTTTGGAAGAAATTCCAATTTGGTAAAGGAAGATTATTTATAAAATTGATGAAGAGAGCACCAATATTGGAACTTGGGTTATTGGGTTATTTTTTTTTACATTGGACACGTTTTTGACACATATGGTTTATGATTTAAGCATACTGTATTTATATTTTGTAATGGTATATGCATGATTAAGGGCACATAACATAGATTAATTGTAAAGATTGTTTATTTCAGCAGCGCAACACAATTTATTTTATGATTTATGTTTAAATAGGTCCAATGAGATCTGAAAATTAGTCACACAGTTGAAAACAAAGATCCTCCTTATCCTTGTGCCAAGCTTTTTATTGAAGACTATTGCCCCATTAAAACTAAATCTCTTAGATTGTAAGCTCTAACGAGCAGGACCCTCTGTTCCTTCTTGTGCCAAATTGTATTCTAACTGTAATGTCTACCTTCACTTTGTAAAGTGCTGTGCAAACTATTGGTGCCATATAAATTCTGTACAATGATAATTTAGATTTATTATTATTGCTCTGTTTTCATTCTGTATAATATTTAAAATCAAAGATATTTTGAACAAATATTGGAATTCATCAATACTACTGCAATAAATACAATTTCTAGAAAAAAAAACATACCTCAAATATTTCAAAGCCATAAATATCCAGCACTCCCATAACCTTCTTTCTGACTTTACTCTGTGCCTACAAAACAAAGAAAAAGGTGCATGCAAGTGCACATTATACAATTAGAATTTACATGTTTGGGAACAAATGTATATTTAGGCACAGAGATGAGCAAAATCTGCTCTTCTGGAAATTCATCCCAACCCCTACATTGGAGATGCAACCAATGAATAAGCAAACCAAATATCTGAATAAGTGTGGAAACTAGGCAAATGGAATTGTCACAGTTCAGCTACTAATACTTCACACTTACAGTCAGGTCCATAAATATTGGGACATGGACACAATTCTAACATTGTTGGCTCTATACATCACCACAATGGATTTGAAATGAAACAAACAAGATGTGCTTTAACTGCAGACTGTCAGCTTTAATTTGAGGGTATTTACATCCAAATCAGGTGAACGGTGTAGGAATGACAACAGTTTGCATATGTGCCTCCCACTTGTTAAGGGACCAAAAGTAATGGGACAATTGGCTTCTCAGCTGTTCCATGGCCAGGTGTGTGTTATTCCCTCATTATCCCAATTACAATGAGCAGATAAAAGGTCCAGAGTTCATTTCAAGTGTGCTATTTGCATTTGGAATCTGTTGCTGTCAACTCTCAAGATGAGATCCAAAGAGCTGTCACTATCAGTGAAGCAAGCCATCATTAGGCTGAAAAAACAAAACAAACCCATCAGAGAGATAGCAAAAACATTAGGCGTGGCCAAAACAACTGTTTAAAACATTCTTAAAAAGAAGGAACGCACCGGTGAGCTCAGCAACACTAACAAACCCGGAAGACCACGGAAAACAACTGTGGTGGATGAGCAAAGAATTCTTTCCCTGGTGAAGAAAACACCCTTCACAACAGTTGGCCAGATCAAGAACACTCTCCAGGAGGTAGGTGTATGTGTGTCAAAGTCACCAATCAAAAGAAGACTTCACCAGAGTGAATACAGAGGGTTCACCACAAGATGGAAACCATTGGTGAGCCTCAAAAACAGGAAGGCCAGATTAGAGTTTGCCAAACGACATGTAAAAAAGCCTTCACAGTTCTGGAACAACATCCTATGGACAGATGAGACCGAGATCAACTTGTACCAGAGTGATGGGAAGAGAAGAGTATGGAGAAGGAAAGGAAAGGAACTGCTCATGATCCTAAGCATACCATCTCATCAGTGAAGCATGGTGGTGGTAGTGTCATGGCGTGGGCATGTATGGCTGCCAATGGAACTGCTTCTCTTGTATTTATTGATGATGTGACTGCTGACAGAAGCAGCCAGATGAATTGTGAAGTGTTTCGGGAATATTATCTGCTCATATTCAGCCAAATGCTTCACAACTCATTGGACGCTTCACAGTGCAGATGGACAATGACCCAAAGCAGACTGCAAAAGCAACCAAAGAAGTGGAATGTTCTGCAATGGCCAAGTCAATCACCTGACCTGAATCCGATTGAGCATGCATTTCACTTGCTGAAGACAAAACTGAAGGGAAAATGCCCCAAGAACAAGCAGGAACTGAAGACAGTTGCAGTAGAGGCCTGGCAGAGCATCACCAGGGATGAAACCCAGCATCTGGTGATGTCTATGCGTTCCACACTTCAGGCTGTAATTGACTGCAAAGGATTTGCAACCAAGTATTAAAAAGTGAAAGTTTGATTTATGATTATTATTCTGTCCCATTACTTTTGGTCCCTTAACAAGTGGGAGGCACACAAATGTTGTCATTCCTACACCGTTCACCTGATTTGGATGTAAATACTCTCAAATTAAAGCTGACAGTCTGCAGTTAAAGCACATCTTGTTTGTTTCATTTCAAATCCATTGTGGTGGTGTATAGAGCCAAAAATGTTAGAATTGTGTCGATGTCCCAATATTTATGGACCTGACTGTATATTAGCTTTTGTGACTGTAGAGCTGAAGGGACAGCTATGCATGTACTATACTTCCTATACTACACTGTACAGATGTAGGAGGGCACTGCTCTTCCAAATGGGGTTTCCACACTAAACAGTATAAATGACATGAGATAGGGGAAGGTGAAAACCACTTGGAATAAAAGTTTTTTAAATATTTTAAATAAGTGAACATTAGGGGTTTGGGTTGTCTTGTTTCCAATAATGAATCAGATCTACAAGCTAATGCACTGTGATACATTTTAAGGTGAACTAACCTCTTTGTAAATTCTTGGTATTTCAAGCTGCTATTCTTTTTTCTACTTAAAACAAATACATTTTAACAGCCGCTTGACCAGAAATGCAAGGTGTTGTGGGAGACTTAACAGAACTGCCACTGACCTGCAACACGGGTAGTAACAGCACTACCATTGACCACCAGTGAAGAGGCTTTAATGGTGCTGCCGCCAACATAGAGTGACATCTTGCCCTGGGCACCAGATGACCTTGCTCCCAGCACTTGCTCTATGATCACTTATTTCCTTACTCTATATCTATCACATGTCTGTTGAAAGTTTCCTGCAGCAAGTTCCTTGAATGTAGTCATAGAAGTACATGTAAACTCAACATTTACCTCCCCTAGTTCTAAGGACTGTTATTTTCATAGAGTTCTCCAATAAAAGGAAATCTTTAGTATCTAGAGCTTTTAACGTTTTATGTGCCTGGGCTCAGCTGTATGTAAATAATCTTAGCAATGTGTAGCAAATTTGCACAGTTTAATTACAGTTTTCTGAGAGCTTTTATCACATATATAAGCTATGTTTTTATCACATATATGGGCTGCACTGCTTATTAGTGCAGAGAAGCGATTGTGCTTTACTGTTCTCCTGACCCCCAGTGTACATCTATCAGTCTGCTCAAACTGGTTTCAAAGAATTGACTTTCTAGACAGCTTATCTGCTTATCTTAATGTATAACTAAAGGCAAAACTATTTTTAAGTTTTGGATGAAGTGCAGAGGGAATAGAATACTTAGTTTTGTTGTAGTCTGTGCCTCTGTTAAGGAGATTCACCCTCACTATTTGTACGGTTTACCATTATCAATGAAAGTGAAAGTAAACGAAAATCCCAAATTTTGGGTTGTTCCCAGAATAGTAAGAGGGGAAATCATCCAATGGGGACACTAGTTCTAGCGACCTGGGGGTCCCCAAGGAATTCACTTTATTTTGAGGGATTTAGTCTCGCTTCCTGTTTGGCTATGAGATAGGACATGAAGGAAAAATGTCAGGAGTCAGCAGCTGGGAAGACCAGATCTGCGTGCTACAAAAGGAAAACAGGGACTAGATGGTCCACGATGGGACACAGAGGGCAAAAAAAAAATTCAGATGGGTTGTAATCCTCCCTTGCTCTATCCAAAATAAAAAAAAGGTTTTACCTATAGTTCTTCCTTAACATTTATTGAGCTGAATAAATGTGTCAAATACAGTCATTAAATAAAAAACTACACATGTGTATATGAAGAATAGGAACATTGACCAATATTACTATCATGTAAGCATTACAATTCAAAATTTGAACTCACTAAATTAAATCAGCACTAGGGTCGCTGGTTCGAATCCAAACCATGGCACTACCTGCATAGAGTTTGCATGTTTTTCCTGTGCCTGCGTGGGTTTCCTCCGGGTACACGGTTTCCTCCCACAGTCAAAAGACATATTAGTAGGATAATTGACTTGTGTCTAAATTGACTCCAGGGGCGGACTCACCATTTGGAAACTTGTGCACTGCCCGAGGCCCCGGGGTCAGTAGGGGGCCAGATGAGATGCCCCTGGTACCTTTTTCATAGGCTTTTTTGAGTTTGGGCAAGGACACAGGGGCCCCATGAGCTGTCAGTCCGCCCCTGATTGACTCTAGTATGTATATGCATGAATTTGAGTTAGGGACCTTAGTTTGTAAGCTCATTAAGGGTTAGGGACTGATGTGAATGTACAATATATGTAAAGCGCTGAATAAAATGATGGCGCTATATAAGTACCTGTAATTTATAAATAAATATGATGCAACCATTAAAAAGAAAATGACTTACCTTAATACTCTCATTTATTCTGTTGACAAGCCATGAAAATAGTCTGCTATACATGTTTTTAGCCAGTGCATCACGGGCGTAGTAAGCCTGAATGATAAAAAACAAATAATGAAGGAATTTACAATACATATTATTGCGCCTTTAATTACAGCCATCCCTCACAAAGGCTAGCTAGCTATCTTGTTCACTTTGATGTAGTCACATAGTTCAGAGGATGGCCAGAAATGCAGGCAGAATAAAAACTTGTTCAAAACTTAATTAAAACCAATCAGTTACGAATGACGATGCGCATTAGTGTATCCAAAAATGATGTAAACGGAACAGATAAGAAAATGAGGCACAGGCAGAAGCCTCCTGGTGATGGTTCATCACTTTGTTAAATAGTGACCAGACAAGGCATTTCATTTCTAGTAAGCCTACTCCTAATATTAACCACCTCAATACCGGGCATGTTTACCCCCTTCCTGCCCAGGCCAATTTTCAGCTTTCAGTGCTCTCGCAATTTGAATGACAATTGTGCAGCCATGCAATGCTGAACCCAAACTAAATTTTTAAAATTTTGTTCACACAACTAAAGCTTTTTTTGGTGGCATTTAATCACCACTTGGTTTTTTATAGTTTGCTAAATTGAGGAAAAAAGACCGAAAATCTTGAAAACAAAAATCATATTTTTCGTCATTTCTGTTTTTAACATTTTGCAAATAAATAACTGTTTTTCATAAATTTAGGCCAAGATGTATTCTGCTACATTTCTTTTGTGAATATAATCCAAATCATTATTTATTATTTAGTCTGTAGGAAAGTTATATAGTCCACAAACTGTGGTATATATCTAAAAATCGATCAATCGTGATGTACTGATGGCCAAATCATTTCTTGAGGCCCAAAAATGTCAGACTAGTACACATATACCCCAAATGAGTATAAGTAGACAGTCCAAGGTACTTAGTAAGAAGCATGGCGAGCTTTTTGAAGTTGTAATCTTTTATCATAATTTTTTGGAAAATTAAGAAATATAAATTAAAAAAAAAATTCCATTTTTTTTTATTTAAAACATACTGTCACCAGTGCAGTACAGCGTCATCATATAACTGGTGTGGCGGTAATCAGGGACACTGACTGGCGACAGTATGAAAAAAAAAAAAAAAAAAAAAATGTATTACTTTTTTTTTTTATTTTTTATTACACACTGTGACCAGAGTAGTATAATGTTACCATAGTAACATTGTACTACTCTGGGGAAGTGATCAGTATTTTTTTTTTTACACATTATATGGTACAGACTGAGCTGATCACAGCCCATCTGTGTCTTGTGATTAGCCATGGCCAATCACAGCTAATCACAACAAAAAAACCTGAATGAATCAATTTCATTCAGTTAAATGCTTGCTTATAGCAAAGAAATTATTGGCTATAAGCAATCAAATTGTGTAAAAAAAATAAAATACTGATCACTTCCCTAAAGTAGTACAATGTTACTATGGTAACATTATACTACTTTGAGCATTGTGTAATATGAAAAAAAAATCTTAAAAAAAGAAAAGTAATAAAAAATACAAAAATAATAAAAAAAATAACTAGTCAGTGTCCCTGATCACTGCCACACCAGTTATATGCTGACGCTGTACTGATATGGTGACAGTATGTACAAAAAAAAAAAAAATTTTGAAAATAATTTTTTTAATTTCTTCATTTTCTAAAAAATGATGACAAAAAAATTACAACTACAAAAAACTTGCCACGCCTCTTAAAAAATACGTCAGACTGTCTACTTTGCAAAAAGGGGTCATTTGGGGGATATCTGTACTGTTCTGACATTTTTGGGCCTTAAGAAATTAGATTGACTGTCAGTACTTCAGCATTGATTTTCAGATATATACCATAGTTTGTGAACTCTATAACTTTCCTACAGACTAAATAATAAACACTGATTTGGGTTTTTTACACCAAAGAAATGTAGCAGAATACATCTTGGCCTAAATTTAGGAAGGAAGAACAATTATTTATTTGCAAACTTTTATAACAGAAACAAAGAAATGTGTTTTGTTTTCAAAATTTTCGGTCTTTTTTGCCAATTTAGCAAAAAATAAAAACCCCAGTGGTGATTAGATACCACCTAAAGAAAGCTCTAGTTGTGTGGACAAAATGATAACATTTTAGTTTGGGTACAGTGTTGCATGATCGCGCAATTGTCATTCAAAGTGTGAGAGCGCTGAAACCTGAAAAAATGGCCTGGGCAGGAAGGGGGAAAAGTGCCCGGTATGAAGTTGTTAACCTAGGAGGAATGTAATGGAGAGAAGTACTCATCTCACTACTTGGTCCTACAAAGCTGCTCAAGTTGTGAAGCCACGCCCTAGCCAATGTGATTATGTACAATGCAGGATCAATGGCCACCACTAATTCTGTGCTATACATGACAATATTAGGGGTGCAATGATATTGTGGGGCTTGAGCAGGAGCAAAGAAGCACACTAGCTGCTGCAGGACCGAGGAGGAAGTTTAATATTCCTCTGCATTACAACCTCCTAGACTAAATGTGCTTTAAATCATGAATATACAAGGATTTTTTTTTAATGGTGTTCAGCTTTAAAACTACATACAATGATTACATGCTATATATAGAATCTTTTATTTTGGTGCAGTTAGCTTTCATATAGAAAACTAAATAAAAGCAGGCCAATGTAGGGATATGGTTCAAAAATGAAACACTTCAGCTGCCTTAAGTTTCCAGTCTATGGATCCAATGGCTTGTATAGTTTTCTACCCAAACTTGTTGGTAGGTCCATGAAAAAACCTTTTTAAATCTGTTCTAAGAGGGCTGTCCCTCAACTGGCTTTCTAAATCATTAGTTTAGTAAGAGTGGGATTTCTGGTGAAGATATCTTCCCTCTGGAGCCAGTGGAGATCTAAAAAGTCAGCACATACATACTTCAAGCTGCCAGCAAACACACAAAACTGAAACAAGTTTTTGGTGGAGTTGGCCACTACCAGAATATAACCCCCTTCAGAACTGCCACACTACACTTTCCATACCACCTCAGGGAAATTTGGCTTGGGATAAAGCTTGACACCAAAAGGTACATCCATAAGATAAAATACTGCAGAACACAGAACTATATATATATTTTTATAACAGAAAAACCTAGACAACACAACCACTGTATCTGCAATAAATAGAATGATATATAATAAGCATTCTAAAAAGATGATGCACTAATAGCTTACAGTCCCATATGATTGTATGTAATACATTAAAATGCTGTCCACAAATGGTTTACTTTTCTAGAGCACAGTGATTAATACTAACAGCTATAGCCATAGGCAATAACTGCATGAAAAAATCCAACATGCTGGTTGTACCCAAGTCGATCCATCAATCGACTACAATCAGCCTGCCCATAGATATATAAAATCTCAGGTGGTGAATAAGCCAAGATTCAAAACATCTATGGCCGGCCTAACTTTGCCTGGATTCTTTTAGTAATGAAGTAAAATATGAGGAGGGAGAGAGAGAGAACAGAGTCTCTCTAAAGAGGTGTCTATATCACTGGCCTATAAACTGTGGCCCTTTTCCAGCCCTTTGGGAACGGATTCTACCATTAATAAGAGGCACTATTCCTCCCTCTGACACCAACAATGAGCCACCATTTCTCCCACTGGCACACACAACGGTGCATTATTCCTTCCACAGACAACAATGGGGCATAATTCCTCCCATTGATATAAACAATTGGGTTCTCACTGATAAAAGCAAATCGGGTACTATTCCTCCCACTGACACCAATGATGGGACACAATTCCTCCTCCTACTGACCACAGGTGCTAAGTATGTGATTTTTTTGCTCCAAATGACCACCAAGCCTGGGGTACTGTCCACTTCCAATGACTGTGGGACATACTTTTTTACTAGGTAGGGGGGAGGCAACAGTAGCCTCTTCCTCCCCTTCAAAGTCTAAATAACAGTAAACTGGCTCTTTGTTTAGAAATTTAAGAGACCACTGGTCTTCATTATTCAATTTAGACAACTAAATGATGAACAAAGTAATGTTTTACCTTTTAATTGTTAATGGATTAAGGGTCAATTGTATTCTTTCAAAGCTTATACATTTTTAAACTGATTTTAAAATCTGCTTTTTTGCCATATTCCTATAATCTTTGTTATGCAAATGACTTTATATGTAACAAACGATTTCCAGAACACTGCAGGATAGAGTTGAACCTCAGTGATGAGACTTTGCAGTGTTTCACTGCTCTGGCATATTCAGTTGTGCATATAAATTTCAGCTTTGACCACTGAGCTGTTTAACTTGTGGCTTGTCTTGGTAGGAAGTATGGAAACTAGAAACATGTAAAAAAAAGAAGTCTAAATCTTTACCTGCAAATTTAAAAAAAAGTTTAAGCAATGAACATAATAAATGGAAAGAAAATATAATCAAAACCACTATAAATACAACCACTACAAATTACCAACAACTGTTTGAAATATACTTTAATAGGGATATATATATATGTATATATATATATATATATATATATATATATATATATATATATACACATATACATACATACATACATACACACACACACACACTCACCAGCCAATTTATTAGGTACACCTGGCTAGCACCAGGTTGGACCCCCTTTTGCCTTCAGAACTGCATTAATTCTTCATGGCACAGATTCACCAAGGTGTTGGAAATATTCATCAGAGATCTTGGTCCATATTGACATGATAGCATCACACAGTTGCTGCAGATTTGTCGGCTGCACATCCATGAACCACTGTTACAAGGCACAATGGATCTATGCTTTCATGTTCTTTATGCCAAATTTTGACCCTACCATCTGAATGTTGCAGCTGAAATCGAGACTCATCAGACCAGGAAATGTTTTTTCAATCTTTTACTGTCCAATGTTGGTGACCCTGTGTGAATTGTAGCCTCCGTTTCCTGTTCTTAGCTGACAGGAGTGCCACCCAGTGTGGTCTTCTGCTGTTGTAGCCCATCTGCTTCAAGGTTTGACATGTTGTGCATACAGAGATGGTATTCTGCATACCTTGGTTGTAACGAGTGGTTAAGTTACTGTTACCTTTCTATCATCTCAAACCAGCCTGTCCCTTCTCATCTGACCTCTGACATCAATGAGGCATTTTTGTCAACATAACTGCCTCTCACTGGATATTTTCTCTTTTTTGGACCATTCTTTATAAACCCTAGAGATGGTTGTGCGTGAAAATCCCAGTAGATCAGCACTTTTTGAAATACTCAGGTCAGCCCATCTGGCACCAACAATCTTGCCACATTCTCCATTCTGATGCTCGGTTTGAACTTCAGCAAGTCGTCTTCACCACGTCTACATGCCTAAATGCATTGAGTTGCTGCCATGTGATTGGCTGATTAGCAATTTGTGTTACCAAGCAATTGAACAGGTGTACCTAATAAAGTGGCTGGTGAGTGTATATACACATACATATACTAAACCCAATGTGCATATATTGCAAACATATATTTAACCTAACGTTTACAAAATTCAGTTAGGTTATCTGCTTAATGCACTAGATTCTCATGTGCGTGTAACAACTTTAAAAAAAAAAAAAAAAAATTAATAATGTGGTTTTGTGCAGTGTTTCCTCCCACCCCTTTTCCCCCAGGAACGCAAAAGCATGTGCACGTAGGGAAGGGTTGTCGCTATGGGTACGACACCCTGCCTGATGTGTGTTTGTAGGCATGCAGAAGATAATTCTTACCTGTTCACAACAGTTTAGAAAACACAAACAGAATAATTAATAAAATACTGAACTGCTGAATTAGATATTCTAGTACATACTAGTACTGGATCATGCTATCATGAAAAACTTTCCTGCTTCAGTTACTGCTCCCCTGAATGATTATTAGTTCATTCATTTATTCATTAAAAAGGACCCACTATGGTTAAACTGAATCTATGTAACTATAGTGGTTCCTACTCAGTAAATAGATTATGATTTATAGTATGGGAAATGGACTCAAGATGTATAATTTTGCTGCTCATGTTAAAGCCTAAGTGCAGCTAAAATCACAAACTGAAAAACCAGAACAAATAGGACATAACTTGTGGTCAGTAGAATGTGTCCCTTGCACTGATTCCTCTGTTGGTGAAAATCTTCCTCCGTTCCGTCCTGTCTTGTACATCATCTTTATGAATGAAACCGGATCTATGAACAGAGCTGAAGAGCTATCAATCATCTGCCCATCCTTTATTTATAGATGACTTTCCACACATAGAAGCTGTAATACAACTTCTATTAATGGCGGATCTGGGCAGGAAAGGCAGGCATAATCAGGCTGTCTTGATAAGAGGCTGTGACAGCCCCTTAGTTCTATTTCCCCAGTTGCACCTGAAGATTACAGTGGCAGGGGTTTAGGAGCTTTTGGCATTTCTTTGCCAAAGCACCTGAACTCAACTTTATAAAAGCCAGTGTGTCCATGTACACATAGGCTTTTAGCAGAGTTTAAGAGCTGCAACGTTTATGTGAGGTTAAACATCCCTCTCCTGAATGTGGAAAAATCGAGTTCAGGATAGGAACGTTTTGACTGCCGACAACAGGAAAATGCAAAACCAAAGTATCGTGGTTGCTGTGATTTGCATTTTCCCGCGGCCGGTTGTCAGGGTAGGCTCGTGTACATGGAGCTCAAGTTAGGTCCCTTGTGCTGATTTTTCTGTTTGTGATTTTGACTGCACATGGGCTTTAAAAGGTCAGCCATGCTGGTGCCTCAAGAATTAATTAGGGTTTCCCTGTTGAAGAAAAAAGGCCATCTGGAAGGTATATGGGTTAATATCAGTATGTTAAGGGACCTACATGCCCAAAACTCTCCAACAATGAAGAGGATATCCTATGGGTCTGGTGTTCCAGGCTAGAATACTTAAAAAGGAAGCTGTATAAAGTATTCCACTTGACAAAAATAGAAGAAAATCAAGTATTAAAAAACATCTGATTAAATAATGGTGCATTAGTAGCGAGCAACCCAGTGCATATTTCTATATATAATTTGCATATTCTATTTATAATTTGTAATATATATGTATATGTAGGCATCTAGATTTGCTCATTACATATGGAGGATCTGCAGCACTTGCACTTAACAATACATTTCTTTATTTAACACAAACACATGCAAGAGCAAGCCTGTAAAATTATAAAAAACATGAATTTAGAATAAATCAAAATATGCAGTCACTGAAAATAAACTACATTTCTGTTCAAAAAGTCCATTTGCTCTACACAAATTTTTTTTTAAATTAAACAAAATACATGGCAAGACAATTGCTGATTTTATATTTAGGAAAAAGAATATTGTTCACCAATGAGATCTTATTGGTTTAGTGGGTGCCATTAGGTTTTTATAACATTGCTACTTTTCTAAATGACATGCTGCAAATTACATAGGGGGTGATTTACTAAAATTTGGAGAGTGCAAAATCTGGTGCTGTTGTGCATGGTAGCCAATCAGCTTCTAACTTCAGCTTGTTTAATTAAGCTCTGACCAAAAATGTTTGTAAACAAAACAGTTCTCTCCCCTGTCAGTTCCTGCACACTGCTTTGCATGCAAAGAAAGCAGTGTGCTTACAGTAAAGCACAAACACACAGCCCCATGGTAAAAAAACACCCAGCACACAGTTAACCCTTTGATCACCCCACATGTTGACCCCTTTCTGCCCAGTGCCATTAGCAAGTGTCAGTGCTTTTTATTAGCACTGATCACTGTATTGGTGTAACTGGGGATGTCAGTGAGACCAAGTCAGTTCCCCCCAGTGTCAGAATGCCCGCTGCAGTCCCACAGTCCCGATATAAGTCGCTGATCGCCGCCATTACTAGTAAAAAGAAAAAAAAAAAAAAAAAACAAAATCCCAGTATACAGTATATACTGCCATTTGTAAACGCTTTAACTTTCATGTAAACAAATTAATTTACACGTATTTGGAATTTTTTTTTTAGCAAATATATGTAGCAGAATACATTTTACCCTAAATTTATGACAAAATTTGATTTTTAAAAATTTTTTTACTGGGCATGTTCAATAGCAAAAAGTAAAAAATATAGTTTTTTTTTCTCAAAATTTGCAGACTTTTTTTTTTATTTATAGCACAAAAAATAAAAACCGCACAGGCGATCAAATACCACTGAAAGAAAGCTCTATTTGTGGAGGAAAAAGGACATAAATTTTATTTGGGTGCAGTGTTGCATGACTGTGCAATTGTCAGTTAGAATAACCCATAGTCGTAACGCAAAAAATGGCCTGGTCAGGAAGGGGGGTAAATTCTCAGAAGGGCAAGTGGTTAAAGTAATGCTGCTCCACACAATTTGTTTATTTTAGCATGTATGCATAATGTTAAAAACATAAAAAAAGATAATCACCTTAGCAAACCAGGTTTTTCTGTTTGTCCCATGGTACAAGAATAATATTTATTTGCCCCTAACTGCAAATGAATCAAATTATTTAATCACCTGACAAACATTGAGTGTTGTGGACACCTTTTCCTGTTTGGCTTCCACTGTTCGGAAACTGAAGGCTCGTTCCAAAACACTCTGATCAATACCAATTAACTCACAGATTTCCTTCAACTCTAGGAAGTTAAACAAAAAAAAGAAAAATATTAGAAATTCCATATACATAACATACACTATATATTAGATTCAGGTGTTCCAATCACCTCCATGGCCACAGGTGTATAAAATCAAGCACCTAGGCATGCAATCTGCTTCTACAAACATTTGTGAAAGAATGGGTCGCTTTCAGGAGCTCAGTAAATTCAAGCGTGGTACTGTGATAGGTTGCCACTTGTGCAATAAGTCCATCCTTAAATTTCCTTGCTACTAAATATTCCAAGGTCAACTGTTGGTGGTATTATAACAAAGTGGAAGCAACTGGGAACAACAGCAACTCAGCCACGAAGGGAACTCTTAAGGCGTCAGCATCCCAAGACATTTTGGACAATTTCATGCTTCCAACTTTTTGGGAACAGTTTGACGATGGCCCCTTCCTGTTCCATGACTGCACACCAGTGCACAAATAAAGGTCCTTAAAGACATGGATGAGAGAGTTTGGGGTGGAGCAACTTGACTGGCCTGCAACTCAACCCAATAGAGCACCTTTGGGATGAATTAGAGCGGAAACTGCGAGCCAGACCTTCTTGTCAGACAATGCGCTTCTGGAAGAATGGTCAAACATTCCCATAGACACACTCCTAAACCTTGTGGACAACCTTCCCAGAATAGTTGTAGCTGTTATAGCTGCAAAGGGTAGGCCAACTCAATATTTAACCCTACAGACTAAAACTGGGATGGCATTAAAGTTCATGTGGTTGTAAACACAAGCATTCCAATACATTTGACAGTATAATGTATATGCAAAGTTTTGTGAACTTGTAAATCAAGGTAAATGCATTTCCAAAAGGCAAATGAATTAGTAAATTAATGTGTTGTTTATTAACATTACACATACTGTATATAAGCTGCACATTACCCCCAAGTACATACCGCTAATGCAAATGTGACCTACAATAGTAAAAGAAAAACTAAAATAGGCAAAAGGCTATATAACAAAATAGCTATGGTCTGTCACACTGTTGTTGAAGACACACTTATTAGTTTCTGGAATCTTTACAATTGTACTGGTATTCAATTTGAGGCAAAAGTGCCCACAGACTTATTCATTTTCAACCCTGATATTTTCCACAATTTTTGACAAAGACCTTGAGTCTATATAATCACTTGGCCAATTCTTTCAGAGAAATCTCAGGGATAGAGAGCAATGCGACCTGTTGGAAAACACTGTCCAATTGCTACAGTTTTAAATAAGATAACTTTTCAGTGCACCAGGCAATACCTACCCGTCGTCCTCCATAGTCTAAACAGGGGTGTTTGCATGATCTGAAGCTGTGCCAGAAGGCTGTGCCAGAAAGGTCGATTTACTAAAGGCAAAGAGGTTGTTCACTTTGATAGGGAAATTGCCCCAGAACTTAGTGAATAAGGTGAAGTTTCACTTTTCTATGAATATCCAATTATGTGAAAAGAAAATGCAAATAACAGCTTTTCTGCTTGCACATGATTGGATGATGGAAGCTGGCAGAGTTTCACCTCATTCATCAATCTTTGGGGTTCATTCCCTTGCAAAGTGAACAGCCTTTTTGCCTTTAGTAAATCAACGCCACTGTGCTGCTAATCCCAATCTAATCTGCATTTGTACATCTGTACTTATCTGCATGCTTCCTCTAGATCAATAATACAACATATTAAAGCCAGAGGGTCAGCATGACAGCAAGCAAATAGCATTTCCAGATGATGTCAGTGACGGCAGCCCTTAATTTCCAATAGCATGTTTCATTTAAGGATATTAACTTTTTTTTTTTTTTTTTTTAAATAAAACCGATAAATCAGAATAGATCTGAAGCAATGGTGTGGTGATGTAGTGAAAGGTTTATGAATTTCGTCTGGTACCAAATATATCCATGGAGAAATTTTAAATGGCACCTATATGAAACAAAAAGGATCTCCTAACACAGCACAGCTACCAATGATTTGCCTGGAAGTAGTTTTCTGGAATTACATATGCTATACAATGTAATTTACTGCACCATCCTTTAATAGAAATCTTGCCTAAACCTCCCCTGAAAGCAGTTATCTTTCTCTATATGCTAATCTATATCCTACCTGCACAGGAAATTTATGGTTATCTGAGTAAGGGTTAAATCTGCCAAGTTTCCAATGCTGTATCCCCCAAGGGAGCAGAGACTGCAGTAAAAGCAAACAGAGTTCCTAACCCCTAAATCCTCTACCCAAAACGAAAAGCAAGAGACAATGATCTTCTAACTACATAGCTCCCAACTGTTCCTGATTTAGAGGGACTGTCCCTCATTTAGAACAGTCTCTCTATCATTTTGGTCTGATCTCTATAGTTGTATATAAAATGCACTTTTCATATCTTTCAAAAAGTGTTTTCTAGTGCTAAACTTTACGTCCAATTTCTAAATTGCTGCATTTGTACATTTCAAAAGCCAGGAAAAAGGAATAGTAGTAGTAAAAAAAAAAAGAACCTATTGGTTGAACTAATCATTTTTTTGGTATAATTCTCCTTTAAGTGGGCATGGCAGGGGGTGTGTCTTATGCCCACATACTTTTGCTAATAGGTGTCCCTCGTTCCCATCTCAGAAAGTTGGGAGGTATGTAACTATATGTCCACGTATTTCATGCTACTAAAGGATCACCCAAGGGTCCATAAAACCGATGAGTAGGGGTTGAATAAAATTGTGTAAACACATAACAGGATTGAGGGAATGTGTATTGAAGCCTAGAGTAAGGCCCACTTTTGTAATTTTTGTTTTGTTGACTTTATAAATAAGCACATGGCAATATTCTTGCCCCAACTGTGAACATGGGAGGAGATATGCAATATCTGTCAGACCCCTTCTACTCAGAGGCCCATGTTGCTAGTGTTTTATGTTCAATTTCAGAATGAACACTACCTTGTCCACTGCAGATTTTTTTATGCTGAAATATGGAAATCTTTAAATAATCTTTAATTAAAGCTGAACTCCAGCCAAAGAGATGAAATACTTAAAAGTGAAAAAACTATTTTTGTATATGACCATCCAGTTCTGAGATTTAGACAGCTCTACCACACAACACAACCAGGTGGATAACACTACTTTCTCTGTGATAGTCAAACAGTAGGAGGAATACAATGGTGTCAACTTTCCATTCCCAGCCTACAGAATAAATAGGGAAAGTGCAGCCGCACATTGATGAGGCCATCTCTCTGCTCATTCTGCACTTTCCCCCTCTCGGCATGTTCCTTGTCAGCACATCTGTATGCTGTACACCTGACTGAACCCTGTCTTGTCCCACCACCTCTCAAAGTAGCTCTGTAGCATAGGGGCTTACAAGAGGCTAAAATCAAGTATAATTCAGGTACTTGAACTAACTGCATTAAAAAAAAAAATTAATTAATGTAATGAATATAGAGATGCATATTTTTGTTACTTTTTATATCTGCCTGGAGTTTTACTTTACTGTACTGTACATAATTCTTAAAATTCCAGACTAATCACTATTCTCTGACTATATTCACCTTGTAATGTGGCTTTTTGCTTTCTAGCTAAGGCTTGTTGTTATTCCACAAATTCAAGCCTTGACACTGCAGAACATTCTTTCCTGTGGCGAGCCCTATTTCTGTGGTTATGTTGCGATCATCTGGAAAATGAATAGCTGACAACCACATCCTATGTCTTTTCAGCTACCAAAGAAAGGCAAATACAGCATGCCTATAAGACTTCAAAATCAAGCAAGAAGTCAAATAATGAGCTTGCTGGAAGAAATATTACCATTAGTTTTTCTCCAGGAAGTAATGCCTATAATTTATAATATGAAATTTAAATAATGTCTGCCTGTTTCAAGATCACATTTTTATGCTTATATCATTAAATGATCTATGTATAACAAAGCTCATTCTGTGTCCTTACCATTCTTGTCCTTAACTTTGCTTTCATCCAGGCCATTGACACGAGATTCTGGTTTAAACTCGATATTCCCCAGTTTTAATACTGCTGCCACAACCTCCAGGACAGATTGTGTTTCATGTTCCATAAAACCTACAATCTGCATAGCATTCTGAAAGAAGAAAACATTGATTGATATGAAGCAAATATAGGATAAGACATGATATATATATATTTTTTTTTATTTTTTTTTTTGTAATCAACACTGAACTTTGTATCAACAATATTTCTACACCACAAGATAATAAATGAGTAAATAGCCAACACCCACACATTTTGTGATTGACAATAACACATGGAACACATTTACCAAGTATATCCAAAAACTAGCCTAAACCCTAACGTTGAACCACAACATTACCGCTAAACTCAGCCAAGCACTAGCTAAAGTTTGCAGGAGGAGTTTTTTTCTGCTTTAAGAGGATGCAAAACCCTTGACCTCTGTCTGCACAGAGCTGATTGGCCCTATGCTGATCACATGCACTCTGAGGGGGGACACTGGAAGAAGGGGAACATCAGAGAAGTGAGGCTCAAACAGCATTTTTGCACAATGCAGAGGATTAACCCCTTAGGTTCCACAGTGAGTTTAACACGCATGCTTATACAGACTGATTTTACTGTTGTGGGTTTAGTAGCACTAACTTTTTACTTCTTCAAAATCCTAAACTCACATCTTAACCCTAAACCTAACCATAAATCTCACCCCAAAAACTATTCCCAAAACTAACCCTCATCCAATCCTCCAAGGCTAGGACTACACTTAAAATTAAATATCTTTGCTACTAAAAGATGTCAAATATAATTAAAGGTATTGTTTTATATTTGGATAGAGTGGTGAGGGGTTCAAACTACTGTCAGGTTTGTACTGTTGTCTGTGTACCCCTTAGGAAGACACACTTTCTCTAACTGCCATGATCACGAATCTTGAAAATGTGTGAGGTTAAATCCAAAGGCCTCATGTACACTAGGTGTCAAAAGCACTCTTTTTGAGGAATTTTGACTTTTCGGCTTCTAAATGCCCCTCTATGTTAGCCTGCTGTAGGTGTTCATGCACAGATGCAATTCATGGCCAGATCTAGGGGGTGCTGGGGAGGGCTGCGCCCCCCCCCCCCTCCAGAATTCAGTTGTGCCCCCCCAGGATGGCCTTCTCACAGATGGAGTGGCCGGCTGATGAGCCCCTCTCCCCATCCCCACACTCAGGGTGGGGAGAAGCAGAGGGCAACGTGGTACAGTTTAGTGAAAGTTACAGGACAAATGACAGCACCAGAAATCAGGCAGGAGGTGTGAGTTGTGCTATGCTCTCGCTTCCTGTCATAAGACAGCAGATGAGAAGGGATTGCTCTGACATCAGGCTGTACACTGACTGTACCCACCCCCTACCCACGTGTTCTGCTGCTGGGCGATAGCTTGCAGGTAAGGAAAGAGTATGTGAACGATAAATGGACCGGCTGTCCATTTACGCTCGACTGACATCTGATCAGATCCAGGCAGACAGAGGGGAACGGATTCCCCTTCTGTTTGTTTTTGCTGGATCGAAGGTAGCTGGGTATAAACAGACACAATTCCATTTACATAGTGCTACCCATAAAGGAGAATGGAGGCTCCGGTCGGGTCCCTCTGAAAAACAGACAGGTGGAACTGACCGGACTACCGATGTGAAAAGGGGCCTTTGTCCAGAGCTACCCCTCTGCAGTACCTGTTCTCTGCCACAAGTTGCCCTCAGACTTTCAGGCTGATTGATGCCCAGCATCCCATAACCTAGAAGACTGTGAACATATGGACAGCAGGGAATAATAGCACTGTTCCATGATGGGGCATCATCATAGCACACTGTCACAGTGTATTGATGAAAAGAGCAAAGCTGATCTAAACAACACTGCACTCTGCGTCATCCTGGACAATCCATCCCTGGAAGAAGACTGAAAAGGAAGATAACTGAGCATGTAAGGGGTCCTCTTAGAGGGAATAAGGAGTTGTATAGTATCTCTAGCCAATACATTTGTTTTCATAGCGTAGGGAATGGCTAGAACCACGTTCACAAATCTTCCGTGCGGGAACACAGAAAAACAAAACTGACTTTTATTTTAACACTTTCATGTTGTGTATATATATATATATATATATATATATATATATACACACACACACACACATATATTATATATACATATGCATACATTATATATACACATACACACATATACATTATATATGGTGCTTATAATATATTCATATTGAATATATACTGTTCTGTGGCACCGTGTGTTGGTTTGCGACTTCCACTGTGTCATGGAAAAACTCTGGAAGCTGAACACCTTCATGCACTTGGTGATCTAGCTTTGCTTGTGTATCATTTTTTATACTGACTGAATTTTAAAGTCTCACCAGTATTGAATAAGGAAGAGTCAGATCACCTGTCATGCTTTATTCTGTAGTCTGTACCACTGTCAGAAATGTTTCCGTTTGTTTTCTGTCCTGATGACTATAATGAGAATTTCCCAGTGTGCACAAAGACTAAAATTAAAACAAATTCTAACCCTTCACTATAGTATAAAAAAAAAAGTTTTATTTCTGTCTACGTCTCTACGGGAAAGGGTTAGAATGTTTGCCAGTTTATTTAATATTTGTGTTACTGTGTTTCTGTGAAGCTGGCCATTCCTGCTGAACCAGCTGAATATTGATCCATGTACGGTTGTTACTGTTCACAAAACAGTCGATCTATCGATCAGCTTTTCTAAAATGGGCTTTTTGGAAAAATTAGTTTCTATCACTGCATGCAGCCAATCTTCTGCAGCACTTAGCAGTGTATTCTGACGTGGGGGAGTCCTATTGTCAGAATACTATGACACAGTGGGGAGGATTTCCCCATCTACCTCAAATGTATGAATGGCGGAATCGGTGTCGTTTTTTTTGTGTTCAGTCATTTTGATAAACAAAAAAGTCTGCACCAAGTATTGGCAGCTTAAGAAACATTCTTTTCACTTTATGTGTTGTCACCTGTGCAGTCTCTCCACCGGCAGAAAGCAATACCTCAGCGGGAGTGATTCCCTCATCCACCTTCAGTGTTTTTGACTATTTTTAATCCTTATACTGTTAGAATTAGTAAATATATAGGAAAGTATAGTATTTCTTTGCTTTAAACTTTTTGTTTAAATTTTTTCAGCTAGCTCTTGGTTTCCAGGCCTAGGCAGATGATGTCATACATCCCAGGACTCTTCATTAGGAGAATAGGGGTTTTCTCAGCTAAGCACACCCTCCTACCTGCATGCCTGAGCTAAGGGCAGATAAATTCCAGGAGGTAAATGCTGCATGAGTCATCTGCCCTTACTGAAAATAGCCACAAATAAAGTAAAAAAAATGGCAGCACGCTGTACACAGCACATGTTGCTAAATAATTTTAACACAAGTGCAAACCATATATTTCAGGTGTACAGAAAAGTCCTCTGTGAAAAGTCTTCTATAAAAATAAAAAAAATGTATATAAAAATAGTCTCTATTTAATGTGCAAAGAAAGTGTAAAAAATCTTGTCTGCAATAAAAACTGGAATAAGCCATCAAAGTGTATTGCAAAAGGATTTTGCAAGAACATATTTTGGAATAAGAAAATTAGAGTACTCACTCTGTGTGGACCAGCTAGTACAGGTGCTGAAAATAAAGTGACTTCTCACAAAAAAAGTGTCTTCAATGCTCACACCCCCATGTAAAAAAAAGTACAAGAAATAGATGGCCTTTTTATGAAAAAAAAGAACTTTAGGTGAATAATCTCCTGCCAACATACAAGCTCTCTTTCTCCACGTCTCATGTTATTTGTTACTGGGTGCGCTGTTTTGTGCATGTTTGTTAGTAGCTGCTATAGTGAGTTTCTTTGAGCACATAATAAATACCGTGGAGCAGGTATCTAATAATTGTCAAAATGGCCACAGCCAGAAATGTTAGGAGGTGTTTTCCAAGGTGATTTCTCTGCAAAATAAAGCATGGAGACATGGATGGATAGCAGAGTTTAAAAAAAACTTAAATAGCGTTTTTAGTTTGTGGTGCTCAGATGCAGTGGAGTCCCACTTTATCTAATGCCATCTTTTGTCATCATATACCCATGGGAACAAAGAAAAGTTGTGACTTAAGGACTTTCTCCCACTTTACAGCATTAGGTGACTGAGCTTCCAATTTCTCTGTAATGTAGTAGCAAGTCACATGTTCTCCCATACCTTGAAGTATTATGTTTATTTCTTCCCTCCATGCAGCTGAGCAAAGGGAAACTGAATATAAGTTGCTGTAGAAACTGCCATTGAATTGTAAGCAATTTTGGGCAAACCATAGTTTTACATTAAGTATTACCCAAATATTCTTGAGTATTAAAACTATCATTTCATTAGAAACCAATTACAAAGTATTACTGGTAAAAGTAAACAAAAAAAGAGTGACTGTATGACCAGCAAGTGTACAAATTCACTTTGCAATGCAATGCTCAATTCCTGATGAGCTGCAACCCTTTAATGCTACAAAGCAGTGTTGAGAGTTCTCAGCCCTTCACACCATGCTGTATTAGGGTACGAAATGTAAAGTCAATGAGTTGTACCAGGTCAGTGAATCACTGTAATACACTGATATGTAATACAGATAAAGAAGAGAGCAACATCTAAGAAACTAGCACCAAAAACTGCATTTTTGTATGCGCAGTGATGTACATTTGACGTACATATGCAGGGTATTTTTCCTACGTTTTCATTTTTTTTTTTTTTTAGGTCACTTCTGTCTTCTTTGGGCTTTTATGTGCACTGAACTGTGATGTCTTTTCATGCATTTTCGTGTGTTTCTGTGCATTTGATTTTTGGACTGTCTATGCAGTTAGAGTGCAGTCAAAAATGTATCCCACTGCCTCTGGTGTGAATGGGTGCTTAAAAGAATTTCAGAAAAGCACCCCCTGAGACAGATCGAATGTGAAATGTAAATAGCTTTTAATGCTTTCTAAAAGAATACCATTATGGGTCATACATAATAGATTCCCTAGAGACTGTCAATACAACAAGTAGAAACTGAAACTGTGCTAACTGAACTATGAACCATTGTATAAAAACAGTAAGAACTCCCTTTTACACCTATTCAACTGATTGACCTTATCCAGAATAAATGGAGTAATTGATAAGGTTTTTTTTTTTTTTTTTTTTTTTTAAACTTCACTGTAGTTTCCTAATGGAAACAAGAAATCACTAAGCTGGAGAACACATGTCACATTAGCCTTTATTCTATATTTTAAAAAAAAAACAGTGTAAGTGCTCTTTGCATCCAGTGCTCTGGTAAACCCAAGAGAGTTAAATCTGATACCTTCGAATTGAAGATCCAACAAACCCCATCTGTTCTCTTACCCTGACAGTTTTGAAATTTGATGCATCATCTATACCGTTCACTTTAGCAGAATCCAGGCTGAGATAGCTGTATTTGCTGAAATCACGATCAAGTTTCAGTTTATCTAGGAAATGAAGGGCTTCAATTATAATGAATAATACTGAAGATAAATAAAGCATTATAAAATAAATCCAGAGCACAAATTGAAGAGGGCAGATTTCAGACCAGTGCTTTCCAATGTGTTCGATAAGGAGAGGAGTCAGATTTTTTTTTTTTTAATTTCTTTACTGACTTGGTCAAACTGTTAAGTGGCTCTAAACCCTGTTTAGGCAAATAAAGTGAAAGTGGCGAATAAAAATCTAAAAATGTAAAAGGTGATTATTGTGATCACCAGTTCTCATCTCCAAAACACTGGGAAACAATCACCAAATGTCAATCTTCTGGACCCCCCAAACTCTCACTGGTTCTTCCTTCTGATCTAATGTCACTTTAGAAGCAGTGATGTGTGAGGCAAGAAGGAGATAAGAAAACAGGGGGGGTCGTGGGGGACCCAAGAGATCGACATTGCCAGAAGTGTGGCTTTTTATAGCATACTTCAGGGCATAAAAACTTGTGAAACGAACAGTGTTCAGTGGCATGGGCACTGAAAAGGCAAAGATTTACACAGTTCTTTTCAGCTCACAAACATTTTCCTAGCTTTGCAGTACTTACTGAGAAGATCTTCAGAACCTCCAGACAGCATCTGATAAAATATGTGGAAATTTCTTTCACCTCTTGGTTGCCTGACGACCCGGGACTTTTCAAGGAGATCTACACATCAAGAACATTAGACTTTATGCTGTATTTTCAGTATCCAAGAAAAACAAACTACAGATCACTTATAGCTATAAAAATATACAAAAGCTAGATGGGAAATATGAAAAAATTCAATAAAAACCGATAAGATTTATAAAATAACTGATGCATACTTGCATCCTTTCAAAATTTTGGTAAGAATGGCACTGGAAAAAAAAAGACAGGTGCACTAACATCTAGCATAAACCCTTTCATTAAAGTTAGTGCCTGCTCTTAAAAGTAATAGTAGAGGATGCTGGAATAGTCACTTTACATATAAAGCAGTATGCTCTGAAGAATCTATTTTATAGTATCTAAAAGCAGGCAGAATGTATAATAGCTGGGCAGAGTATATAGGGGAAAATATTTCGAAAAACAATATCAAAAGCCAAAGTTTAATTGGGTTAACTGAAAAATCTCACCTAATTCTGCACTGTTCTGCTTTGCATGTACACAATGAATATCATGTGTCTGTAGTCAAGCCACAGTTGTGCTCTTTGTTTTGCCTTTGTTTTTTAATATAAAGGGTAAAGCCCTTTGAAGTTCAGGCTTCAGAAGCTGAAATTAGTTTCCTTTACATAGTAATGCAAAGAGAAGTTGCCATGCTATGCAGGACTTAAGCTGGCCATGCATTATACAATTTTCTTATTTAATTTAGTTTAGATTTACCTTCAACTATGTAGTGCAAGGACCTGCCTGACTGCATACAAATTGAAAGTGTTTAGGTATTATATGGTTTTAGTAAATGTAAATAAAAATTGTACAAGAAAGTTATATAATGTATGACCAGCCTAACAAATACTATTACTCAGTCTATTCAAAAATTATATTTAAGTTATAGGTGGTCACTGGTGGGCTGAGACACTCACCAGCTTCCCTATTACCCTTCAGAACTTCATTAGCGAGATCTCTCTACCATAGTACTTGTCTCTATTCAGAGTCCTGCAGCAGTATATTTAAAAAAAATGCCTTAACAACCCAATGGAGAGAGTGGGGCTCCCACATAATGGTTGCTGTAGATGTGCAAGACTTTGAGATCCTACCAGTAAAGTCTTTGAAAGTTATATTATTGGGTGGTTTAAACAGCATATATATTACATATATAAAAGCAACAGCGGACATCACTCGCTAATACATTCTCAGGCTCGTTAATGCAATACCAGCTCAATCTATATTAGATATGGTTAGTAAGTAATGGTGAAAAGGGTTTCACATATGTCATTTTCAGTATGTCCGGTTTAATAGTTTTATTGTAACCATTTGTAGCAGATTGACCTTGACTTGCAACACAGTGATAGCTTGAAACTATTGCTGTATTGAAAGTTTATTGCTAGCTACAAAAACAATTTATAGTTTCTTTTAAAAGGCAAACACAGATAAAACGTGTATAAATGGTTTTAGTTGCCCAGAGATTTGCAATTCTGTTCAGCCAGTTTTTAATCTAGAAACCCTTACACACAAACACCTTACACACACACACACACACACACACACACACACACACACACACACACACACACACAAAAGTATTAGGACACCCCTCCAAATCATTGGATTCAGGTGTTCCAATCACCTTCATGGCCACAGGTGTATAAAATCAAGCACCTAGGCATGCAGACTGCTTCTACAAACATTTGTGAAAGAATGGGTCGCTCTCAGGAGCTCAATGAATTCAAGCGTGTTAGCGTGATAGGTTGCCACCTGTGCAATAAGTCCATCCGTGAAATTTCCTCGCTACTAAATATTCCACGGTCAACTGGTATTGGTATTATAACAAAGTGGAAGCAACTGGGAACAACAGCAACTCAGCCATGAAGTGGTAGGCCACGTAAAATGACAGCAGGGTCAGTGTATGCTGAAGCGCACAGTGGGCAGAAGTCACCGTCTGCAGAGTCAATAGCTAAAGACCTCCAAACTTCACGTAGCTTTCATATTAGCACAACAGCGCATAGAGAGCTTCACGGAATGGGTTTCCATGGCCGAACAGCTGCATCCAAGCCTTACATCGCCAACTGTAATGCAAAGCGTCAGACGCAGTGGTGTAAACTATGCCTCCACTGGACTCTAGAGCAGTGCAGACGCGTTTTCTGGAGTGACAAATCACGCTTCTCTGTCTGGCAATCCAATGGACGTGTCTGGTTTAGGCAGTTGCCAGAATGGTACTTGCCTGACTGCATTGTGCCAAGTGTAAAATTTGGTGGAGGGGGAATTATGTTGTGGCGTTGTCTTTCAGGGGTTGAACTTGGCCCCTTAGTTCCAGTGAGGGGAACTCTTAAGGCGTCAGCATACCAAGACATTTTGGACAATTTAATACATTTTGTGGGAACAGTTTGAGGATGGCCCCTTCCTGTTCCAACATGACGGTGCACAAGTGACAAAGCAATGTCCATAAAGACATGGATGAGTGAGTTGGGGTGGAGGAACTTGACTGGCTTGCACAGAGTCCTGGCCTAAACTCGACAGAACACCTTTGGATTGAATTACAGCAGAGATTGCAAGCCAGGCCTTCTCGTCCTAAATCAGTGCCTGACCTCACAAATGCGCTTCTGGAAGAATGGTCAAAAATTCCCATAGACACACTTCCAAACCTTCCCAGCCTTCCCAGAAGAGTTTTTTTTTTTTTTTATAGTTTTCTAGATTTCTCTAGATTGGACTTGCAATATTTCAGGAAATAGCTTTCAACAGACTATGCAAGGTTTTGCTTTTATACATTCAAGGAAAGATCTATTTAACTTAACAAATCACGAACATGAGGCAATAATGAAGCAAAATTAAGTGACAAGGCGTTCTTTGCAAACCCTTCAGACCATGTCTGTCTACAATATCCAGCAATGTATCAGATATCTGGAAATATTCTGTCACATTTTTCCATTCCTGTGATCATTATAATATAATCAAGACCTTGCAGCTCTATATTTTGGGGATATTACACTAGGTGTGTCACTACTATAGCACTAATAGTTACCTCATTTCCTACATGTATTTTTAATATTTTGTATTTGTGACGGAGGGTAGGCAGGACAGAACACACAAAGCGGATGGAAAACACACAAATATTTATTGAGACAAAATGACAGTCACTCAATGGGTGGATTGCAGGGGGGGTGACCTCGCCAGTAGGGGAATAGTAAGGAGAGGGCCAAAACACTTGTAGTCCAGCCCCAAGGGCAAGTTAAAATCTCTGTAGCAGTTTGTAATTCAACAGTGAGGTAGAGGAACAGTTCAAGAACAGTTCAGGCAAAACAGGGGAAGCATGTACTCATGGATCCAACAGGGTGCTCGGTCTCCCAGGGGACAAGATAGTATGACACAGGTACCTGCTGGAGTCTGGAGTATGCCTGTGGTCTCTCCCTTAGCTGGGGTCTCAGGCAGGGCTGGCGTGCGGTCTCCCCCTTGGCTGGGGTCTCAGGCAGGGCTAGCGTGCGGGTCTCCCACTTGGCTGGGGTCTCAGGCAGGGCTAGCGTGCGGTCTCCCCCTTATCCTTGGGGTCTTGGCAGAGTTTAGCCACAAGGGTCCCGCAGCAGCTGGGCTCCCTCGATGGCTGCGCTTGGTAAAGACTTTGACCACTTTTTAAATGTAGGCATTACATTGGCCTTACACCAATCTAGTGGTACTATGCCAGTCATTAAAAATTAGAAACCTTGGCTTTGAAATAACAGAGCTCTTAACATAAAAAGACCGACAGTTTTGAAAAAAAAAAAAACAACTATTTTTGACTTTTTGCTTTAAAACATATCTAGTAAAAAATAAAAAAAAAAAATCAAATTTCATCATAAATTTAGGCCAAGATGTATTCTGCAATGTCTTTGCTAAAAAAAAAATCCCAAAACATGTAAATTAATTGGTTTACATGAAAGTTACAGAGTCTACAAATGGCGGTATATATACTGGAATTTTAAATAATTTATTTTTTACACTAGTAATGGCGGCGATCAGCGACTTATAACAGGAGTGCGGGCATTCTGACACTGGGTGGGAACTGACTAAATGCCACTGATATCCCCAGTGACACTAATACAGTGATCAGTGCTAATAAAAAGATAATGACACTGGACAGGAAGGTGTTCACATCTAGGGCGATCAAAGGGGTTAACTGTGTGCTGTGTTGTGTTTTACAACATGTGCTGTGTGTGTTTTACTTGGGAAATATGCTGCTGTGTATTTCTCTGCTATGCAGAAAAATACACGGCAACATGTTACTGCTGACAGGAGAGAGACCTGTGTTGTTTACACACAGGTCTCTGCCCTATCAGTGTTACACTGCGATAGCCGGGTGCTGGTGAAGAATCTCCACCTGGGACCCGGGGATTGACATATTTAGCCACCAATGGCGGTGTGGGCAGGTTGGCACACGTGCGCCTCCCTTCCCAGAAGTGCAAGTCATGTATATATACGTGAGTTTGCGCAGCCCTGCCACAGTATTTCTGCTATAGGGCAGTGGGCAATTGTTTAATATATTTAAAGGATTTGTTGGTGTTTGTCCCACTATCTTTTGAAATCTGTAGCTCGTTTTGAAAACTAACCCAGGGGAGAAAAAAAAAAGTCTAGCACCCTAGGATTGTGCTCGCTTATTCTGACTATGTGTGACCTCATGGAGTTGGCATGCAAGGCCTACCAAAATTATGCTTGTAGCGCTACTCCCGCAGGGGATGCAGAAATACTGTCCAGATCTTCCTCACCAGCTTTGCCCCGCAGCCAAGCACATATGCTATTTTACACGTTTCTTCAATGACCAGTCTAGTGGTGTTTTTGTGGGTATTTGTTTTTGGAGAACTTGGATAGGATTGAAGGAATTAGGTGGGATATTCCAAAAACAAGAGCTATGTACAACCTGAGGACTTAGGTATTCTTCAGTACATGCTAAAGTCCGTGCTTGTAGCAAACAAAAGACTTTAACTTTAAGGTAGTAGTAGCAGTAGATTAACTGTGAATCTCTTTTTTGAGCCAGAAAGTTTAAGTCCCTTTTAAGTAGGAGAGTAGATGGACAAAGCTCTGTGGCACCGAAGGGTATCCATTTATCTAGACCCACAGCTGACTCCCTAGCACCAGAGCGGTTTTAGCAGCATAAAATCTCTAAGATCTTTCAGAGGTGTCTGTACTCACAAGGCCCAAAGACAGTGGGTTGCCTTCCTCCAAGATACCAAATTAGATCTTCATTAGACAGCCCCCTCGGTCAGCTCTTAGCAGAACCTGGGTCTCAGTATCCAGGCCCTCAGGTTGCCCACCTGAGGCCTACAGTGGCAGATGCAGCAGAGTTGCCTGGGAGGGCAGCATGCCCCTTCAGGCTGGATCAATCTTATCCAGGAAAAGACCCAGAGTTCAGTGTGCTCACTGAATATATACAGTATCCCAGCATGCCATCAGAGCCTGCCACACTGGGATAAACCAGGGTTGTATCAATATTCATGCTGCCATCTGCATAGCTCCACACTTATCCAGAAACTGATCAAGACTTTTGGATGCAGAGGGAGCTATCAGACTGGCAGCAGCTGAACACCCAGAGCAGACCTGACTAGCAGAACACAGCAGCACCAATTACAGTGAGCAAACTATGCTTTTACCAAACAACAATCACAACCACACTAACTACAGTGTAGCAACTAAATTTACCTATAAAAACACTTACTAAATGTATCTACTATATCTAATCCCAGCACCTACAGTATCTAGGAGCGTTCTACATGTTCATTGTAACACTTTTGTTATTTAGTGTTACCTTAAACTCAAAATATGTGAACCTGATTTACTTTAATTTTGGAGTGGTCATTATGCAGAAAGGTGTCTCAACAAACACAACTGGCAAGAAGTGTGATCAATTGGAACCTGCACCAACATATACAAACCTCTTTTTGTTCAGAGGCTTAAGCTCGGATCAGCTGGCAGACTTGTTTTAACATGACAAGGTAAAATGGTGTTTAATGTGGATCTAGATAGATATCATGCACATTTTACAGTAAACCCATCAGTACTACAAAGTACTGAACAGGATGCAGCAGTACAATGCAGACATCTAAAAGACCCTGCAAATACTTTATTTGGCCTTTTAAGCTCTGATGATGACAGGAATCTCAGGCCACTGTTAATCCTAGATAATACCCTTTTCCACGTGCTTCAATGGCCCAGTAAGGCCACTTAATACAATGGAGGAAAGTTAAAGGGAAACCTTAGGTCATTTGGCATTCAATGCAATAGGAATTTCCTAACCACATTTCAAATATTTTCCTCATTTTATTGTTGCAGTAAAGCTACATCAGGCACGTAGGTAACACAGATTTCACACCATCCAAAACACATATGTATCCATACAGAGTCTACACAGGCCACATGACTTGTAAGTAACTATAAAGCATATATTCAGTGATATGTACTTACAGTTGCTTATAACTCCGCCAAGTGGATCACCCTTAAAATCAAACTCAATATCCATATATTTGCCCTAAAAAAAATACAAAATTAAAAAGAGTCAAATTAATTATGTACATGGCTCATGTAAACATATTGCCTTTTTTTTTTTTTTTACTTAAAAAATTCTATATTATGCCTAAAATAGTCTTAAGGATATTTTTTTAACTTTGTTCAACTTGAAGAAGACCCTTATTCAATATACATATATTATTATATAATTAAAACATGTTATAAGGTTTTTGTGCAGGCAGTCTCTAAAACCTGGTATATCATAATCAAATACTTACAAATCTGGAAGAATTATCATTTCGAACAGTTTTTTGCATTTCCAAAAGCTGGTAATACAAATAAAAAAAGATATCAAACAATCATGAAAATGTATGAAATACTAAAAATGCTGCAATGGGGATATACAAATCGGATTTTGTTCTACATACGTACCTGTAAAATCCATTTCTTACATCACAAGACTTAGAGCAGGCTAAAGTCATTACTATCTGGGTTATGCGCCACCAACAGGTGAATGGACACTGGCAGATCAATCAAACAGGAAGTCCTTCCCTATGTAACCCCTCCTATACAGGAAGTACTTTTTACAGTTTTGAGGCAAACAATGAAATTCCGAAGAGGGGAGGGACCTCTGAGTCCTATGATATACACGAAGAAATGGATTTTATAGATCAGTATGTCAAAAAAATGCAATTATCTTTATCGCACATCAAGGGACACAGAGCAGGCTATAATCATCACTATCCGAGATGTCCCAAAGCAATACATTTGAGGGGAGGGAGACACAAATCCTAGACATCATCAGTCCAAAACCTATTCTGCCCTCCCCAACACACTGTGGCCAAGGGCAGCATTCTCTGTAGCTCCAACATCCACTTGGCAGAACCTTGTGAATATATACAATGTAGACCAGGCAGCGGCCCTGCAAACCTGCCACTGACACCTAATGGCAAATCGCACAAGAGGCTCCCACACTTCTGGTAGAGTGCACTCTTACCTGAAAGGGTGGAACCTTGCCCTTCCAACCCATAGGCTTAAATGATTAACTGGCAGATTCAATGAGAAATAGTTGATCTGGATGCCGCCTGCCCTTCCTGGGCCCATCTGGCAGCACAAACCAGGATTCCTGCCCGAACTACAACCAGAGTGTGCATCAATCTTTCCCCTTCCAACTGAGGACTAGGGAAAAAAAGAAAAGGCAAACCATTGTCCTGATTCAAGTGAAAACTAGAAACCACAAGAAAGATGGATGTGGACGCAACATCACCTTATCCCCTTCTGATGGAAGGACCAAAAATGGCTCCTTACAAGAAAGAGCCACCAGCTGACACTGAAGTGTGGAAGTGATAATAACCAAAGAAGCCACCTTCTGAGTCAAAGGACTAACAGAGTCTCATGAATTGGTTCAAAGGGTGGCTTCTGCAAGGACAGCTAAGACCAAGTTCCAGTCCCAAAGACACAAGGGTGGCCTGATAGGCAGGACTGTCTATGTTACATCCTGCACAAAATTAAGGAGTCAGAAACAAACAGTTACTGGAAAAAAATGGACAGAGACGAAATTTGACCTTTAATAGTACTTCAGGGCAATTTAATTTCCCTTCCCAATTGGTGAAAGGACAAAAATCTCTCAAATATTTCCATGGGTGCCACTTCCTAGCTTCACACCAGGCAGATACGTTTTCCTGAACCTGTAATGGAAGCTCCCTCAAGCTGGCTTCCTGGTGCTCAACAGTGCAGAGATAACAGGACCCAAGACCCTCCGGAACCTTCCAGACCTGGGCTTCAATAGCCAAGCCTTCAATCCTAGCGATCATAAAGCAGGATATACTATTGGACCCAAGACAAAAAATCTGGCCAGACTGGAGATGTCCAGATTCACTATGTCAGTGTACCAAGCCTTCCTGGGCTAGGCCGGGCTAACACTTATCAGTGTTACCACCTCCTGGATCCTGCACAAAAGAAGCGGCAATAGCTGAATTGAGGGGAAGGAACCGATTAGGGAGAACTGGTCCCTAAGGTGTTACCAGAACATCTACCGCTATTACCAGTAGGACTCTCATTCTGGGCACCACCTGTCCAACTTGTTGTAGACCCTGGAAGACAGTATATCCACATGCAGAGTTCCCCAATGCTGGTGGATTGTCGAGAATGTCCCAGGATGCAGGGACCACTCTGCCAGTATTAGCCGTTGACAACTGGGGAAAAAAAACCCTGCCAGTTTTCTATACCTGGAACATATACTACCAACAGAGATGACACATGCTGTTCCGCCCCAGACAGAACGTGGTTCACCTTTTTATGAACCGCACAACCCCTGGTGCCTCCCTGGTGGCCGATATATGCCTCTGCCGTGGCATTGTTGGACTGAACCCTGACCACAACCTGTGCCACTGGTTCATTCAATAATCCAGAACAAGGTGTGCTGCCCAAAGTTCCAAGAAATTGATGGGCAGTATTCTCTCCTGTGGAGACCACATCCTCTGAACTGTAGCCTCCTCCTAAAACAAACGCCCCCCCCCCCCCCAACCAGAGAAACTGCCATTGGTCTATAGCTATGAAACCACACAGGTATGCAATCATGCAGACAGGCAGCTATGCAGGTATGTAGGTACACAGGTATGTAGTTTTGCAGGTATACAAGTATGCATTTTTTCAGTTTAGGCCAGTATGCAGTGAAATGCAAGCATGCGTGCATGCATGCAGTTACACAAGCATGCATGCATACAGTTACACAAGCATGCCTGTATGCAGTTACACAAGTATGCAGTTCTACAATTATACAGGTACGCATGCAATAAAGTAATACTATGCTGCACCTGCCCTGCTTTCTAGGAGTGTATTGTTTCATCAAAGAACTTTATCAAAATTAACTGCACTTGGCCCCATACTAGTTTTGCAGGACTAACCAAGCACATATACATCAAATGTAGCCTGAATGCAGCCTCTATGCTGCTTCAGTGCAGCTAAAATGTAAGTTCCTGCAGATCAAATGCAAGCTACTCTGGAGACACAACAACTTTAAGTGCAACAATACCTGTGCAGTGGTGTATCGGAAAACAGTTTTACAAGCTGCCTAGGATTATGCAGCCTAATGCAGTGTATAATTGTGTCCTGTCTGGTCATGCAGCTCCCCCACAGGTAGTACTCACACATCATTATCCAGCCATAACTGCTCCATGTTCCAGCTGTCACAGTGATCCTTCAGCCCACATGTGAACCTTCAGAAACACACAGAGCACAGCCTGGCCAGACCAAACAGCACACTGTCCCCAGTGGTCACCGGGAGAATGACCAGACAGTCAGATTTTTAAAAAAAAAAAACACTGCAAATGTAAATTTACCATTCCCACCACAGGACTCTGAATCATAAAGTCCAACCTCCACCATAAAAAGACCTTCAAGGACTCGGTCCCCCTATGATCCTGGGGTCTACTCCCTTGGACCCATACAGCACCTTGCCAGAAAATCCCTTGTTCATTAGAAAATGCACAGGGTTCTGTAGCACATGGGTCCAGGTCGCATTAGAGGCAAAACCCTGAGGATTCATCTTTTACCTAGTGAGGCTGGGGTACCATCCATTTTCGCTAACAGCTTTTCGAATGGATCCAACTGAAGTCCTTGATTCTTAGCAGAACCATTCCAGACCTCCAAGTATGCCCCGAGAGCACATGCAGCATATTAGTGACCATTCACCTTACAGACACTGGTGAAAACAATGAAGTACTTTCTGTATAGGAGGGGTTATATAGGGGAGGACTTCCTATCTGATCAATCTGCCAGTGTCCTTTCACATAACCTTTCACATAAGGTGGCACATAACCCAGATAGAAATGATTATTGCCTGCTCTGTGTCCCGGGATGTACGATAAAGAAATATGCATGATGTTAACATCATAAGTGAAAGAAAATATGAAATGTTTAATTTCCAATTCTTTAGCAATAAATTCTATAATACGGCTTAATTTAAAGAAAATGTATAGTATTTCTAAATGTATCACTTAAATGTTTACTTAACTTACGTTTAGAACATTTGTTTAAATCAGAAACGCTTCCATCAGCCAATAGGTGGAATGCTACTTTTATGCAGTGATTTACTATTATGCTGTGAATAGCCTGGATAGCTTGCATAGTATGATCTCCTGCCATTCAGGTCAACTGCAAAACACACATACTGCTGAAGGTGAGAGGAGAGGCACACTTCCTCCTCCGTTAGCTTTTGTGGACCCATATGGATTTTTAATTAAAGGCAGTCAACATGACAAAATATAAATGGTATTAAACAGTGCTTTATTAGATATTTATTTATAAATGTAAAATGTTATATAAGTAATGAAAGCCTGATACAGAAGGTAGGTTTATAAAACTGTAAGCATTCATCAAAAGAAATTGACCAAAAATAACTTATAATAGTTGCTAGCAATAATTGCATGTAAAATCCAGCAGGCTGGTTGTACCCAAGCTGCTCGATCGATCAACTTGGGTACATTTAGCCTGCCCACACATGGATTGAATCTCGGATGGTCCCTGCTGAACCGTCTATGGCTGGCTTTAGTTGCATACTGAAAAAATACCATATCAAAGTTTTGATGAAAAGGAGATAAACTCTTATGGCAAATATAATAATGTTATTCTCTTTTACATCGCAGTAATGAAGGGAAGAAAACACTTGAATTAAGAGCATATGGAAATATTAGTGTTGCATATACAGTTCAGAACACTTAGGTCTGGTGTGAATTGGCATTAGGCTTATTTAATGAAGAAAAAAAAAAATAAAACAGCTAGAACCTACAATGTGATTAATGCTTCATTTAAAAGATTCTCACAATGGTCACATAATAAATGTTCCAGCATGCTTTCATGAACAAATAATAATTGCTAAATCTAGTTTGTGAACCTCCAGGTGCATTCTTATTCAGTAATCCTAGAGCCACTAATCCCATGGAGTTCTGGTATGAAGATTTCAGCAAATATCCATGCACAAGAACATGGTCATCCCGTTTGTTTGTCATCCTAGCACCATAAAGGATGATATCATTAGCCAACAGCAAGGAAAAAGAAGTGGGAGAGGACAATCCCAGGCTCCCAGACCAGTGCAGCTGGTTGAAAATCCCATGGGGAATCCTTGAGATTTAGGTTTTCTAGGGCATTGATAAAGACAACTAACCTTACATGCAGGCACACTTGTTTTATGTCTTAAAGATAATTATAACATTGATTTAGCTAAGAGGGATACAGCAAACATTTTCTGTGAGGCCAAGCATATTGAAGGTTGCAATGTTTAAAACTGATTAATTTGCCTTTGAAAAACTGTGTGAAGCAGTCATGAGGTCAGACAGCTTTGAATGGTTTTAACTTTTGCCGCTAAAATAAAGAGTTATATGCTATAAGTGCCCTTGAAGCATCTTCTTTTAGAATACATTCAAGACAAGGATTGGAACAAGTGAGCACTGAGACCCATGCTGCATTCTGCAAAGTGATAACACTGGGTGGGATCTCCTGGAGCAACCTATCTTAGCAAGTCTATGTCTCCCTCCAAAGAAAAAACAGTAAATGCTGCATTTCTATTGTTTCTTTTTTGCCATGCCAAAATTTATAAGCCAGCATACTTGTACTTGGAAGAAATAGTAGACGAAATCCTGATTCAAAATAAGAAATCAAGTTGTGGAAGTATGGACTACTGGTTTAGAGCTTAAAGAAAAAGAAGGCACCATTTTTACCAAAAACCTCTAAAAGGGACACATTACCTTCCCACAGATGGCATTGAAGATGGATGGGAAAATGTGACATCATGATTTTATTGAAAATAAGAGTAGCACATGATAGCAATGAACATTTAAAAAACTTTGTCATACATGAAGAATCTAAGCACCATACCTTCCAGGACTGGATTGGACTGCAAAAGTTGTTCCTTCACTTGATTAACTTCAGCTCCTTTACCACAAACTGCTGCAACATATGACATGACCAGCTTGCTTGCTTCTGTAATACATAAGAAACATCATATCGAATTATACTGTCCAAATATTCACAAAATATTTTATTGTTTTTAATATATTATTAGCTGGTGTGGCAAGATATACAGACTCAGTCTTTTCTGGCAGCCCTAGTACCTTTCAGTGTGATTTCAGAAAGGCAGCACATTATTAACCATCACATAAAACTGCAATTAAAGCTGAGCAAGTAAGTAGAAAAACCTCTACAAAATAGAAACACAGAAACACTAAAAAACACTTTTATCCAATCAAAGCCTATGAAACCCAATTTTTGGCAAAAATTTTTACTTAAAGGGTAACCTCATTTTTGTGAAAAGAAAAATATAGCAAATAAAAAAATATAGTAAAGCATATTTAACAGCTGCACAAGCCATATTGTAATTAAATTTTATTAAAAATTACCTTTCCTTTTCAGTCTGCAGCCACTGTAATTTTACGTAAATTCCATGTCACAAATTCCTGCAAAGTGAGGGAATCTTGGGGTGCCACTAGAACTAGTGTCCCTATTGGAAATTTCCCCTATATTAATATTCTGATCAGACCCAAAAGCTGGGAAATTTCTGTTACTTTCACTTTTCTGTTACTGTTATTTCTGTTACTTTCACTTTTGAATGGTAAACAGGACAAACAGAACAAATCTTCCTAATGGGGGCACAGACAGCAAAAAAAAAAAAACTGACAGGATCTAATCTGTTAAACTAATAAAGTTTAAAAAAAGTTTTGCTTTTAGTAACACTTTAAGAGATAGTTACACCACAAAACACACTCCAGTTGCCTTTTTGCTTACAGTTCACACTACACAGTTCCGGGACATTTTTGAGACTTTTGAAGTGTTTCGGTACAATTCTGTGCAGAAAAAATGCAGCATGTTCTACTTTTTTTTTCCTGCACCAGAACTGCACTGGAACTGACTGCACTGGTGTGAACTAGGCCCAATGGAATTCATGGAAAACACTGTGCATGCATTTTTTATGCAGAAAAAAATGCACTGGACTGCATGTAGTGTGAACTGGCCCTAATAACATAAATATATAGGGACACAAAGTTTGTTAAAATCCTTACACTGTACATTGATCACCCAGAGAGGATTGTTTTTATTTCTCAACAAATGTAGAGTTACTCTTTAACAGCAGGTTTACATAGTGAATCAGACCAATCTGGCCAAAAGTCCAAAATGTCTTATCTCTTGCTTTATTCCTAGACACACTGTCATTGTAAGACCAGTTACAAGACACTTCTATTGATATGCTATGTGTTTTCGCCATCTAAACTATATTATTTTGCTCCGTACTCACATTCAAGGGAAAAATTAAAACTAGATCTCTCTTTTTTGGGGCTTAGGTAGTATGGAAGAGTTGGAACTTCTGGTTTTCTTTCTGTTGTGTCCCAGCTAGACAGATTCGCCATCTCTATTTGTCTTGGATCCTGACTGTTATTAGGATAGAAAGTAGTAGGAAATCAACATTTTATGGCTGTCCCTGGAAGGTGAGGAAAAAGCTTCCAGTGAGGGCAATGAGGATTTCACCTCATTTTGGAGATACGCTCACACTTTCTTCTGCTTTTTCAGAACAGAAAGTGGAGATTTTTCCAACCGGACACAGACAGCTAAACATTCATGACAAGTGATTCTAACAATTCCCTACTATATACAAAACTAAAAAAGAATGTTCTGCCTAGATACAAAGAAATGAGCCCTCATACTAAGGAAATCCTTTAATTAAAAGCAATTGAAATCAGAACAGATGGTTTATATTTCTCTTCTCAAAAATGAAACCAGCTCTACCTAAATCCCTGTCATCAAAATTTGAAAAGAAAGTAAGTAAATAAAATTTTGCTTCCTCTTCTCTGTGTTTTGTATTGCTGTTGCCACCATTAAATACTTTCTTCAATTCTATCTTTAGGTTCTGTAGCGTTTCTGTCTTGAAGAAAGTCTTCACATCAAAAGTCACTACATACATCTCTGGGTTTGGGTTGTTAACATCATGGTTAAGCCACAGACTAGAGAACGATATCCTTTGATTTGGGGGTTTTCATTCCATAGACCACTTGTTAACTCTGTAGAAAGTTTGATCTGCATATGATTTTTTTTATTAGCATTAGCCAATGGAAACCCCTCCTGATTCAAGCAATGGCCATATGCTGGCTGATTTTCTCTTGCATTGAAAAAGACTCCAGTTTTACTATAAATAATCAATTTTGGCTGTTACAAATTACCGAAAATAATTGAACAGAAAATGTAACACCTTTGAGTAAACCATAGTCATTGCTCATACCGACATTTAATTCCATAAAGTAATACCATCTTCCTTTATTGCATAAATTCTTCATTTTATATACGGGTGAGAGGTGCGTGTAACCTGTTGGACAGATCGTTTGAAGCATCTGGTACACTCAAGTGATCTTAAAGTGGTAGTAAACTCAGATATTAATTTTTACCTACAGGTAAGCTTAACTATAGGTTAAATGAATATCTCCTAAACATGCACCGTTCAGGGAGATATTCGATTGTTTGGCATCACCGGTGCATGTACTCTAAAAGATCGGCATACCTGTGCTGTTCCTTCAGAGCTCTGTGCCGTGACTCCCTCGAGCATGCGCGGGAGTGACATCTTCTTGGCTTGGCTATTCAAGTCACCACTGCCCACGAAACCAGAAGGAAGACCAGGTGAAGATGGAAGCCTTTGCCGCAGTGACAGAATGTTGCTGGAGGGCTTAGTTTCAAGGTAAGTCTTTCATAATATGCTAGTAAACGATGCATACTAGAACATTATGCCTTTATCTTGCAGGAAGAATTTTTTTTTATTTTTAAAGCAGAGTTCCACCCAAAAGGGGAAGTTCCATTTTAATGCCTTGTCCCCCTTTCCCCATTAAGGATTGGCACCTTTGGGGAGTGGGTGCCTGAATTTGATAGGTACCCGCTCCCACTTCCGCTGCGATCGCTTAGGCGATCAAAAGCAGAAGTTGTCCTCCCTCCCCGTGGTCTTCTGGGACATGTGAAAGGACTACGGGGCCATTTACAAAGCTCAGTGCTTCTCAAGCATGTGCAGTGGGCACCGAGCTGTGAAGCCCCAAGCTGTCACAGCTGGGTGCCCACACTAAAGATGCTGGTGCCAGGGAGAGAAGATGGGTGTTGAAACCAGTGGTGGTGAGGACACCTCTGGACCGAGGGACAGGTAAGTGTCTGTATTTTAAAAGTCAGCAGCTACAGTTTTTGTAGCTGCTGACTTTTTTTTCAGCTGGAGTTTACCACTGCTTTAAAGCTAAACACCAGGCAAAAAAAAAACTGTCATTCTACACTATTCCTCAACAGCCACAAAGGAAATGGATCCAAATTGTAGCACATGCCTTTGCAAACCCAGTTAAAACCTTGTAATCTGCATCATTGTGCTGCACATAGCCTGTGTAGAGAATAGAGTGTAGGAGGGACCTAAGAGGCCCATCCAGTAGACTGCCTTCATAAAAGTAGGGGAGGGGGGACGATACAAGAGTAGTCATTTTGTGCAGAGAAAGAGAGTAGCAATGAAAGGTCTTAATTACAGGATGCTCCTGCACAAATGCAAAGGTTTACACTGGATTACTGCATAGATTAGGAAGAAGAACACAAAGCACACCGAGATTCCAGCAATAATACACAGGCCTCTTGTATTTAAGAGAATATTTACTTATCCCAGAATTCAGTTTTAACACCAATTATATGCATTTGTACAAATCTTACGTTATTAATATTGCTTATTATGTTGTAAACTTCAGTTGGATGAACATTTTTGTTCTCCATCTTTTTTAAACCAAAGCAGTGACTGGCTGCTATGGAGTGTAATACGGCTTGTATACAGGAATAGAAGCATCAACAGCTCCACAGAAGGTGATCATGCACAGACTTGGATTAGCCAATGCTATAACACAGATAGATTTGTCTCTCCTGGTACAGTATGTTACCTTTCTAAGCACTAGCTCAGCATGCATGTATAATTTAAAGTGACACTAAGTGATATCCTTATTTTCCACAAGTAAATCATATGTTCATTACGTATTGGTCCTGCAATCTGTTTTTCATGAAATAGTTTCTTACTGTGTTTTCCTGCCTCCTTGTAATATCTTCCTTGAGCTCTCAAACCTCTCCTCTCTTCTTTTTTTTGGAATGAACAGTGCATATAACTTGCAGTCATGTGTACTGATCTATGCATACAGCACAGCCCATAGCCCGTGGTTAATCTTGGAAGCAAGCAAGAGAGGATGGCTACATTCCTACATACAGCAGTGACCATGAAGAATATGGAGTATGAACATAGCCAACTTCCAATAGGCCACAGAAGCAAAAAAAAAAGATTTTGGAGATTTGAAGGAGGCTGAGAGCAATAGTACTTTTTTGTGTTAAGAATACATACTAGATTTTTTTTTTTTAATCCACAGTTTAGTGCCACTTTAATATCAAAAACATGGGTGGACACCAATGGATAAACTTGCAAACATTATACAAGCTATTTAAAAATATGCAAGTGAAAACATCCCTTAAAGGTAATGCAAATCCCCCCTAATGCAACATTTTCATATTATTTATTAGATACCAATGACCCCCACAAAATACAAAGAGAAAAAAAAGGGGAAGTACATGATTATAGTCAAATATTACATCTTATATCATATCCAATACTACTGATACATGATTTCCCATGCAATCACACAGGTATATACTCCAAGCAGGGTCTTTGTTAGGAATCATGGGGCCCCATACAGCCTACCTGATGGGGCCCCCTTTGACCCCTTGGCCCTGCCCTTGACCACACCCCTGGTCCCTCCCCTGTCTCAAAACAAAATGCATCTTTGTTTTCAAGTACATCCAGTAGAAGGGGGAGCAGTTACAATTACAAGGTAAACAAATTGTCTATAGATATGATATAGGGCAGCACAGTGGATAAATGGTTAGCACTTCCGCCTGGCAGCACTAGGGTCATTGGTTTGAATCATAGCCACGGCACCACCTGTTCTCCCT